CTTTTTTGTTGTGTAACTTGTTAATCCTCTTTTTCCTGACTTTTCTTCCCTTTCCTAACGGCCGGTGTTGACTCTAAAACCAGTAACAGCCCAGGTTTTGGTTTTCTCCTGGTGATAATTCCTCTGTGCTCTGTAGGTTGCCTACAGGGAAGGCTTAGGGAAGGCCACCCCCAGCCCGGTCACTCCGGAGATGGAGCGAGTCAAGCGCAACCAGGAACAGATCAGCTCGGTACTGAGGGAACAGCCAAGCCTTTCTATCCAAAATAACCACCCTGAGCCAAACCCACTCTAATTCAGCCTCATTTTCCCAGTTTTCCTCATTTTTGTCTATTTTCCCTCGGATTTTTTTTTTTCACCTTTTGCCAATAACTTTTCAGCCGCTTTGTTTCCCGAGATCTTTTCCATCCTGCAGCGCTGGGTTTGCTTCAATAACCCCATTCCCAGAGAGCTGGGATTCTGCCTGGAATTCTGAGCTGTGTCCACGTGTTTGTGCTCTGCAGGTTTTGTACAAGGAGCACATGGCAAAGGGAACTCCGACCCCTCTGACTCCGGAGATGGAAAGAGCCAAACGGAACCAGGAGAACATCAGCTCGGTGAGTCCTGCTCAGCCAAAGGGAAAATACACTAAAATCACAATTTATCCCTGAAATCCTCACTCAGAGTTGAGGCTTGGAGGGATGAAGTAAGCACATGGAATTCTTTAATATACTCCTTGTGATTAACTGGAGTTTGGGGGATTTTTAAACAGTTAAATTTCAAGTAACATGTTGCTTTCAAGTCTCTTCTGGTTTTGCTGCTCTTACACTTCAGGAGACAGAAAATGATGGTTCTTCAGGAAGAGATTTCCGATGTTCTCTATAAAAAAAAAAACATATAAAAATCTGGACCTGACCTCCTTCAGGCCCTTCTTTGCTAACCTGAGGTAAATCCTGACATGGTTCTGTCCTTGTTCTCCCCTGGCAGGTTCTTTATTCCGACAGTTTCCGGAAGCAGGTCCAAGGAAAAGCCGCCTACGTCCTGGACACGCCGGAGATGAGGAGAGTGAGGGAGACCCAGAAACACATCTCCACAGTAAGGGCAGCTCCAGAGGGGCCTTACCTTGGGAAGGGAGTTAAACCTAAACATAAGCCTGGTTGGCAGCTCAAGGACAGGTTTGCTGACCCAAATCTTTCACACTAAAGCATTTAAGGGATTAGGCTCTCTTGTGGCCCCTTGGATTGGGAAAGCCAAAGTTTGGGACACTCCCTGAACTTCGCCTGAGGGAAGCAGGGGTCACAGCTGAGCTGCAGAGCACAGCCCCTCCATTTGAACCTGCAGGTGAAGTACCACGAGGACTTTGAGAAGAGCAAAGGGAGCTTCACCCCCGTGGTCACCGACCCCATCACCGAGAGGGTGAAGAAGAACATGCAGGACTTCAGTGACATCAGTTACAGGGGCATCCAGAGGAGGGTGGTGGAGATGGAGCGCAAACGTGTGGACCAGGACCAGGAGAACCTCACAGGTAAGGCTCTGCAGAGACCCCAGTACCTCCCAGAGAAGCAGGACCTAATTTCATAAGGACTTGACTATTTCATTTCCACAACACAAGCAGAGCTGGGATGAGTGGTTTAATTTAAGCTCAGCCACATCAATTCTAATTCATCATTACTTGGGGATGATGTTTTTATGGAAGTCCTTTCTTGACAGTCTTTTCTTTGAAAATCTCTTTTGAAAAAATAGTCTTGCAGCAGCTGTGGTCTGCCTGTCCCCAACTTCAGAATGTAACACCAGAATATTATATTGTATTATAACACTAGATTATATCTCTATGCATGTTAAAGGCCCTGATGCAGATGAAATGTAAAAAAAGCCTAATCTATGCTATAAAATTGAGAAATAAATTGTTGAAATAAATATGCTTTTCATAGAATTCCAAACTGGTTTGGGATAAAAGGGACCTTAAAGCCCATCCAGTTCCACCCCCTGCCATGGGCAGGGACACCTTCCACTATCCCAGGTTGCTCCAAGCCCCATCCAACCTGGCCTTGGACACTTCCAGGGAGGCCACAGCTGCTATTCCTGCTGTCCAGGCCAGGCTGTGCTGCTCCAGCTCTCCAGCATTCCCGTTTCTCCCACAGGTCTCCGTGTCTGGCGCACCAACCCCGGATCCGTCTTTGACTACGACCCGGCCGAGGACAACATCCAGTCCCGGAGCCTGCACATGATCTCAGGTGTGTCCCAGGGGGCTCTTCTACTGGGGCAAAACAGGGTTTGTACTCCTGCAAACGTGGAATCTTGGGGGCCACACAGAGCTGAGAGGTCAGGGGTGACACAGGGACAGAGGACAAACTGTCTGTGGCTGCTCCTCCCCAGCATATTTTCAAACAAGACATTATTAATTTTTCTGTCATAAAATGACCCAACACAGGCAGGAGGAGGATTGTTTATATGACCCACACAGCACATGATTCCTTTTGCAATAACTAAAAATACTGTCCTGAGTTACATTTATTTTGTTTAACTCCTTTCCTGCTTATTGAGAGGAAAAATACCTGAAGGGTAGAAACCAGCCTCAGGGAGGGCTCAGAACTGTGTTAGAGAAGGAAGGGAAAGGTGGGATAATTAGAATAAAAACTTTGGAAGACTAAGAGGAAGGAGACTGGAGAAAGGATAAAACTACTGTGACTGCTGAAGAGCAGAATTTGAGTGTGGTGTCCACAGAACACTTAAAAAATCACTTGGAAACACCACCAAGGAACCATAAAATACACTGGGATTATTTAAACGGAGTTTTTTCCCCACAAACTTTGGGAAGCAGCAGGGCTGGGGCTGTGAGCCCCCACGGGTGTGGTGACCCTGCCCCTGCTGTCCCCCAGTCCAGGCCCAGCGGCGCAGCCGGGAGCATTCCCGCTCCGCCAGCGCCCTGAGCATCAGCGGCGCCGGAGACGAGAAATCCGAGCCCTCGGAGGGCACCGACCAGCGCCTGTCCTACTACAGCAACGGGGGCTTCTTCACCACCACCACCACAGGTACGGGGCACCGGGCAGGGCAAACTGCCCACGCCAGCTGGGCAGCAATTCCTGCAGCCAGGACAAACCACAGCTCCAAAAGGGCGAGTTGTGGACGCAACCAACATAATCTGTTCTGGTAATTTGAGCCACTCAAGTGCCCTGTCCCTGATCTCCAACCACAACAGCTCCATCACCGACTCCAATAACACCACAAACTCTGTTTCCCTTTCAGTGGGCTACAAACAGGTGAAAACCATTGAGCTGCCACAACAACGCTCGTCCTCGGTGGCCACCCAGCAAACCACGGTGTCCTCGGTCCCCTCCCACCCCTCCACTGCCGGGGTGAGTAACTCTGAGCCTGGGACTGGGACACAGCCCCAGGAGTTGATTTGGCACAGCCCTGCAGGGGTCATGGCCCATGGTCTGTACTGCTCCAGATTATGTTAATCCAGGATTAAGTCAGGAACGTTCCTCTCCCCCGGGCTGAAGCTCAGCACTAAACCCAGTGAAGGTGTAACTCTCACTGAAGTGGGACACATCCTCACCTGGACTTCAAAACTTTGAATTAGCATCTTAAAATTTGAATTCTTCCTATTCCTGAGATTGAGTCTGGAGTAGATCCATGACAGTGGGTATGGCTTTGCCTCCCAAAACCTGCCTGGAGCTATCCTGGGCTGATCCTGCTCAAACCCACCCTGCAAACATTTTGTTCAGGCTCAGTGTCACCAGCACACACAGGTATGGTGGCACTCAGGTAACCAAGGTGCCCAGGACCCAGGGGAGGAGCTGGGAAGGAACGGGATGGGTTATTTCCCACCTCAACACAGCATTATCTGCTTCATCTCCTGAGGCACCTGGTACCAGCCAGAAGGAAATAAAAATCACTGTATAATAAGACAGACTAAAACCAAGTTAACAGCAGTAAAACTAAGTTAACAGCAGGAGTTACAGCATGAACCCTGAGGAATTCAGAGTTCATTCAGGGGGAACTCACAGAAGCTGAACTAGATTTAAAACAGGAGCAGATTCAGCCCTCAGTAGTGAGTCAGACTTGCCCTTCCCTGCTCTGACACTGATTCCCAGCCCAGCTGCGGCTGTCAGAGTTTACCCAGTCCTTCTTTCTGCCTGATTCCCAGCCCACCTCTGTCAGGATTTACCCATTCCCTGTGGGTACCCCATTCCCAGCCCAGCTGTCAGGATTTACCCAGTCCCTGTGGGTGCCCAATTCCCTGCTCTCAGGGTGTCCCCATTCCCTGTGGGTGCCCCATTCCCAGCCCAGCTCTGTCAGGGTGTCCCCAGTCCCTGTGGGTGCCCCATTCCCAGCCCAGCTCTGTCAGGGTGTCCCCATTCCCTGCGGGTGCCCCATTCCCTGCTGTCAGGGTGTCCCCAGTCCCTGTGGGTGCCCCATTCCCTGCTGCCAGGGTGTCCCCATTCCCTGTGGGTGCCCCATTCCCAGCCCAGCTCTGTCAGGGTGTCCCCATTCCCTGCTGTCAGGGCTCACCCCGTGCCTCTCTCCCCCCACAGAAGACGTACCGGGCCATGTACGATTACACAGCGGCCGATGCCGACGAGGTTTCCTTCAAGGACGGCGACACCATCGTGAACGTCCAGGCCATCGACGAGGGCTGGATGTACGGGACAGTCCAGAGGACCGGCAAGACCGGGATGCTCCCGGCAAACTACGTGGAGGCCGTGTAAGCAACCCCTGCCCCTGCCCAGAGGGGCAGAAAAGGGGGGTGACACCTCCCAAAGCGCCTCGTTGGCCGTGGCGACGGCGCCTTGTGAGTAAAAGTAACTGCAGAGCAAAATATTCTTGAGACGTTATTTCAAAACATCTTTGAAAAGTCACCTGTAAAAGACTACTCTGCATTTCTTCCAATGCCAAAAAAAACCCCAACAAACCACCTTTTTTTAAACGTTGCCTGGAATTCCCAACATTTCATCACACACCATAATATGACACTACAACTGCAGTCCAGTATCTTCAAAATTTGATACCAGTATTAAGACTAAGACTCCCAAGCATTACTTTATTCATTCTATAAAAACTATAGAATTTTTTTGGGGCTATGTGTTTAAATCTGTTCACTTCCTTTCACAAATAAGCAACATCTAAGCTTAGTATTTCAAACCAATTTATTTGGGGAGGGGAAAAAGAAACCCTCTCCTGCTTGCTGAGGTCTCATGAATGTGTTCTTCGTGCAACTGTTCTGGGGTCAAAAGCTGTTATTTCTTGTAAATTAGTGACTGAATAAAGCTGATGTTTCTGCAGTAGAATGGATGTGTTCCCTTGTGCTGAAAGCAGGAACTGATCTCACAGATCACTGGCTGTAAGAGCTGAACACACTTAAGGAGGCAGATTTAGAACCAAAGTAACATTTCCAGGGAAGCACAAAACCCTACAGCCAACTTCCCATTACAGCTGCAGGCCACCTCTTTGTCCTGTTCCTTTTGTCCATGAGACACACAAACAGAATACTCAGAATCCTGCTGATGATCCCACCACATCCTTGAGGACCTGCTCCCACCTTACAGCAGCACTGGAGACCTTCCAAGGTCCCTCCCAGCCTTGGGAATCCAAAGCAATGCCGAGGGGGAGCTGAACAGGCAAAACCCCACAACCACCAAACCACGGGGCCATGAACAAGTTTGGGAACTATTTTCTCTTTTATTTGCCCATGTGTAACTCTTAAAAAGCACCTGCAGCAGTTCCTTCCAATAAACACCCACTCTGATAGCTACAGTACAATATATACAGATCAGAATTCCAGAGGAAAGCCCGGGAACTCTCGCTGAAGGTCTCCGAGAAGCAGCAATGCATTCCATGCAATTAAAATCCCGATCATAAATTAGTAACCAAACATCTGCTGTCAGTCTGTACACAATATACAAGAAGCTTCTTGCCAAATCCATTCATTTCCCCAAGGAAAAAGTCTTCTCCCACCAGGAGAACTGCTGCCACCCATGGACATGGGGCAAAGCCCGGGAGGCTTCGCAGAGTCTGTGCACACCCGTCCTGTCACTTCTTAGTGTGAGTCGTACAAAAATACGTGGAAAAATAGATCCAGTACAAATCCCAGGTTCCTGCTTAAGGAATTAAGCCCAGCTCACCTCACAGGTGCTGTTCTGGCAGAGTCTGAGCAGCTCAAAGGAACCCCCCGGGGCAGCAGAGGAGCAGAGCTGGGAGATGCAGCTCTGGCCCCACAGGAAGAGTTTGCAGCACTAAGAACACTTCGGGTCTGAAAAAATAATTTAACTACTCTGTTGGTTTGGTTTCACAGTCTCTTTGCTATTGCACAACTCTTGTCAAGTTCCCTTCCACTACCTGAAAGAAATATGCATAGCAACACAAGACAAATACCTCTGCCAGGGAGGAAGTAGTCCCACAAATTAGGGGGGGGAAAAAAACCAACAACAACAACAAAAAGAATAAGGAAAAAAAAAACCAACAATCCCATGACAATAAATTGATGTAGGAGTTAAAAAATATCTTCTGTTCAAAATGCACAGTTTAAGGAGTAATTCACCAGTAAGAAAAACAAGGTGTGTGGGGGGGAAAAAACCTGTTGTAACAAAATCCTCCTTACTGAGCCCCGGGAAGCAGCTACTGGGAGCTGTCCTGGGGTGGTGATTTCCAGCGGGACTGCAGGTTTTTTAGGATGCAGGTGGACATGTCAGCAAGTTTTTCCTGCATCTCGAAGAGCTGGCTCCCAGAATAGCTGTGGAGATCCTCGGAGCTGAGCTGGGCAGAGAGGGCCTGGATCTGGCTCAGGAGATCTGCCGGGGGCTGGTCGCTCGTGTTGGGCATGGCTGGCTCAGCCAGGTCTGAAAGGAAGGGAAAGAGGGAAGTGGAGGGAGATCTAAGCAGAATTCCAGCTGGTTTTCCACAAAATAACATCTTCGAGCAGCCCACAAAGTGTTTGTTCCACACAAGGAGTGCTCCTGACAAAGTGAGCCCTCAGAACTCCACCCCACCCTTCCTTCTGGTGAGTTTTGCTGTGTTGGACCATGGCTGTACAACAGATCCAAGGGCAGAAATGAAAGGATTTGATCCCGACAGACAATGCCAGTGTCCCAAATCCCACACTTAACTCCCACATTTAAACTGGAGAGCTGAAGAGACGTCACCCCTGAGCTTTTTGTTCTGCTTCCAGTCTCTTGTTGGGAGAACAAACACGGATTCTGAGCCACCAGGCCAAACTCCAGGAAGACACAGGAGAATCCAAATAAAAATCTACGCCTGCTAATCCCAGCTGGGTGTCCAGGGAATCATCCCACCCCTGTCCCCCCCCTCAGGATGAGGCACCACTTCCTTATCTCTGCTCACCATGTTTTTCTGTGCACCCCCAGCAGGGACCAAACATGGAACAGCTCAGGAGTCATTTGAGCCCTGCCTAATTTGTTCTTTGCTTCTTTAGGGAAAACCAGCATTTTCCCCTCAAAATATGTAAGTTTTAAAAAGCCACTGCTCCAGGGCTTCATAAAGCAGCATTAAATGTGGTAATATTGGCTACTAACACACCCAAAATAAAAAATAAAAGCATCAAGTGTTCTCATCAGGAGAGAACAAAGACAGCAGAACTCTCCAAATCTGAAGCAAAAAAAGCCACCAAGAGGTACCTGTTCCAAGCTTTTCTTCATCTACACAGAGTGCTTTATCCTCCACATCATTTACAGGCTTGTCAGCATCTTCAAGCACCACCATTTCCTCCGACACTCGAGACTTTACCTGAGCATTGCGTGGGACAGAACAAGACAAACGTTTTTAGAACAAGAAAAATAAAATTAGATTACGTGGTTAGAAACACAATAATGAATACATAAATAATAAATACATGTCACAATAAATACAATCACCATTCCTGTTAATAATTATAGTGTAACCAAGCCATCTGTACCTTGAATTCCCACATACTGAGACAGGCAGGGATTAGGTTTCAAAGTGCTGTTTTTAATTAGGGAAAAAATACATCACTCCTCATGATGGCTATTATCAGTTCATTAGGGCAATACTGGCTCCCTGGGTGTTAAAAATTCAGCTTTACCTGTTGCTCATGATATCCCTTGAGAGCTCTTTTGACATTGGAGACTTTGGGAGAGCGGATGGGAAGGGTTTTGATTTCCAGGGCTGTCAGAGAGCTCAGGTCCCCCACGGTCTTGATGTTCTTGGCTCGGATGAGCTGCCCCAAACCTCTGGCACTGCAGCAGGGGAGGGAAATGGGTTATCACCAGAGAATCATGGAATATCCAGAATGGGAAGAGACCTACTGATGCCAATTTTATGCCCCAAAAGGTGCGACAGAACTGCTCAGAGACAACCTTCAGTCTTTAAGCAGCGAGGTGTTCATTTCAGGCAACGCTGGGGAACTTCCAGCTCACGCTGGACAAAGAGCTCCAAAGCACTCAGTGAAAAGCCAGACTATTTATACAATTTTTGTGAGAGATTACATCATCATTTCATGCATGTTCATATTATTGCAACATCTAGGTATAATATTCATAGCAGGTGGAGTTAGGGCAGAGTCAGGGGCTGGGTCATCATTCTGGGGAGAATCTCAGTGGTACGTCCTGTTACTTCAGCCTCAGGGTCATTGTTTCACTCCTCTCCCTCAGGTAAACTTCTGAACTTTCCTTAATTCTGCTGACTCCAACATGTATTTGGCAGGAGTTTTTGATATTTGGCAAGAGTTTCTGGACCCTGGCCCTTCTCTTTCCCCTTATCTCTCTCTGTGTTCCTTCCATATGTCTATTTATGTGTCTGTTAGCATTTTTGGTGCTCTTTGTTTTCCTGTGCTGGTACCCTGTCCCTGGGTACAAGCTTTTCAGCGTTCAAAAAAGTACTTGAAGAATTCCAAACTAGTCAAGTCTCTCCCCCAACAAACCAACCTCCTTCCTTTTGAAAAAATTTTGGCTGAAGACATCTGTAAGTTGTCACAAAAGGTGGGTTTGTAGGTCCTGTAAGAATTCAGTTTCTATTGGAAGGTCCCCTTTAAAGGAACAACCCTCTTACCAGATGTTTGATGTGATCTGGGGTAAAATGACATCCACAGGAGCTTTGCAGCCAGCCAAGGCTGGGTACACGTGTTCCATAGGGCATGGCAGAGATTCCTTGGCCATTTCTGTAATCTGGAATAACACAGGAAAGGTGTTAAAATAACTGTCACATGACTGAATACAGGAAAAAAAAAAAATAGAAGAGAAACATGAACTAAAGCACTTCTTACTAAACACTTCTTTGAGCTCTTAAATTTAAGGGTACGAGATCCTGGGGACAGAAATCCTTTGGTTGGAGTGGTAATGTGCTGGATAGAAAAAGAGGAAAAAAATATCTCTCAGAATTGTAGGAATAGTTAATAGAAGGAATTCAGTTAATAGCAGGAATTCAGTTGTCAGACTCTACCCCCTGAGATCTGAGAGTAAAAGAACAAGTCAGACTAAAGCAGTTACAGCTACTTCTCACACTGACTGACCCTCTGCTCTTACAACTGTGCTAAGTGACTACAAACAAGCACTAAAGCCACACTCCCTACAATAAACAACATGAACACAGAATATATATGAAGAATTCACCTTAGTCTGAATATTGGACAAGATTTTCAGGCTTTTGGAAGAGGGTGAGGAGTGGGATCTGACCACGGGACTCCTCCTGTCGATGTCGTCCGCCAGCCCCGCCTGGTGAATGGGATCTGCAAAGGACACCCGGCGGATCTGTGTGGAGGAAAGGAGGTTTTACAGTGTCAATTCAAACCACCAGGGCCTGGGGAACAACCTTCAGTTTGAAATGAGGTCATTAAAGTTCTTGACTGACACAGGAAATGTTTCACCCGAGGACACACCCTGGCAATACCTTATGAGCAGGTGACAGGGACTCATCATCTTGGTGACTTCTCTTTGCACCTCTCTTCAAAATGCTGGTGGAAGGGGAAGCTGAGGGAGACCACGTGCAGCGGGCCTGGATGCTGGTGGGGCTCTCATTCACCGGCATCAAAGCATCACCTTCTGCCTTCAGAGGTGACTCCACACTGGGATTTTCCAAGGCTGCATTTTCAGACATTGTTATTTCAGTTTCCATTAATTCCTCCTTCATCTCTTTCTCTGGAATAACACAAGTTTCTCCTGCAGTAATCTCAGCTTCTGCTTTATCATCCTGATTGCTTTCCAGATTGTTGATCTCCTTTTCCTCAGGTTTGCTATCAACAGGCAGTTCCTCAGGCACCTCCTCCAGTTGTCCATTCTGACTTATTTCTTCCTTCTCTGGAGCTGCTGTTCCCTCCTTCTCTGGAGCTGCTGTTCCCTCCTTCTCTGGAGCTGCTGTTCCCTCCTTCTCTGGAGCTGCTGTTCCCTCCTTCTCTGGAGCTGCTGTTCCCTCCTTCTCTGGGGCTGCTGGTTCCTCCTCCTCCCCTGGGGCTGCTGGTTCCTCCTCCTCCGGAGCTGCTGGTTCCTCCTTCTCTGGAGCCATTGCTATTTCCTCTTCTGGAGCTGCTGTTCCCTCCTTCTCTAGAGTTGCTGTTCCCTCCTTCTCTAGAGCTGGTTCCTCCCTTTCTGGAGCTGCTGGTCCCCCCTTCTCTGGAGACATTGTTAAATCTTTTTCGGGAGTACCTGTTCCATCCTTTTCTGGAGCTGTTGTTCTTCCCTTTTCTGGAGCTGCTGGTCCTTCCCCTTGGCTCTCCATGGCCAGGCAGCTCTCCCCAGGCTCCCCTGGAACACCCTCTGGCAGAACCTGCTCCGTTGGCTCCTTCTGATGAGCAGGTTCCTTTATTTCCTCTATGGAGTCAGTAGTTTCACCCGCTGAACACTCTGGATTCTCTGGCTCCACCTCCATCCCAACACTGCTTCCTTGCAGGGTACCCACAGATGTTCCCTGGCTTTCCAAGTCGCCCATCCTGGGTTCCTTTGGGGGATGCACCGGAGTGCTCATGGCACAAGGTGCCAGGGAGAAGCTTTCCTCAAAATCTGAGTGCCCACACAGCTTTGAGCCACCTCCAGGGGTCTGAACCGGGCTGATCTGGGGCTCGTCCGGCTCAGGAGTTTTCCTCTTTCTGGATTCAGTGAACGATGTTATTTGTTGCTTTGGTTTTTTAAAACAGCAATCGCAGCTCTTGGTTTTTTTCACCCTCCTGCTCCTTTTGCTGTGACACTCAGGGGTTTGCAGAGAGGAATGCTCAGCCCCTGAAGCATCTGCTGCTGGTGCAGAGCCCCCTGGGCTTGTCTGCCTCTCCTCCTGCTGGTTCTGCTGTGCTGCTTTCCCGTCCTGCTCACACACAGAGGGGCTGGGCAGTGACTCCATCGCTGTCTCGCTCTGGTTTTCCTCCTCACTGGTGTTCTGAGCAGCAGGTGGGTTCCCAGAGCTGGCAGATCCCACAACTTCACCAGCAGTGGGAGGAATTCCCTGGTTTTCAAGGCCACATGGTTCAGCTGTGCTGATTTCAGCTTCCCCTTTATCTGCTTCCAGTGGACTCTGAGTTTCATTTTCCTGGGAAGACACCTCATGGTTGTGGCTTCCTGGCTGCCCATCTTTCAATTTACCTTCCTGAGAATCACTTCTGGCTTTCACTTTTGTGTATTTTCTCTTCCTTGTGCTTTCCTCCTTGGCAGAGCCCTCAGCCTCTGAATTCTCTATGCTGGAGAGCAACCCTTGGGCAGCTCTCCTGGTGTGGTACCGTGGGCGCTCCACCACCTTCAGGCTGCTGTCCTGACCTTCCCCCTCAGCCATCAGGGGCTCCTCTGCCCTCCTGCCACGCCTGCTCCCTTCTTCATCGAGGCCCCTGGAAGGAGAGTCCTTGGAGCTCCGGTCCTCTGCAGTTCTCTCGGGTTGGCTGCTCTCTTTTGTACTCATCTTTTCTGCTGTTTTCCCAGAAATCCCCTTCTGCTTTGGGGATCCATCATCCTTAGGCTGTGACACCTTCTTCTGCCCAGACTTGTCATCCTCTTTCCGCCTGTCCCTCCTTTGGATCCCCTCCTCCTTGTCCTGGCTCCCCGAGGAGCTCTCTGCAGTCTCTGACCGGCGCCTCAAGGAACGTCGGAGCACCTTCTGCTGAGGGGACACCTGTGACACCTGGGTGTCCTCCCCTGTGGCCTGGTCGGGTGAGGTGGTGGTGTCTGGGGGGGTGTTTTCCTTGGAATCCATGTCCAAGGCCCGGGCCTTCTCTATCTCCGCAATGGTGTCCTCGACTTTCCTGATGTCTGCCTCTGTGGAGTGGAGAGTCTGTGACTGGGACAGGAGGATTTGCTCCACGTCCTCTACCGTGGAGCACAGCTCAGGAGTACTGTCCATGCTGTCAGAGGCAAGAGACTCCTGTTCTGACCTGTTCATCAGCTTGGACTTGTTTCCCTGGAGCTCCATCTTGCACTGCCGGCGCGTGAGCCTCCGGATGGCCGCGAGGACAGGCTCCGGATCCGGAGGCTTTTTGTTTTCTTCTCCAGATTTCTCTGCTTTAGCACTGGTCTTGCTTACACTTGTATTTTCCTGTTTGCCTGCCAGGGCAGCCCCTCTGGACAGCTCTGAGAAGGTGTTCAGTGGTGATGGGCTGAAGGGCCTGTTCTCTGTCCCGCTGAACTTCTCCAGGGTGATGAAGGACTGCCGGCGGCTCACGGGCTGGGGGGTCCCAGAAATTACATCGCTGGAAGCTGAGCTGTTGCTGGCATTGGAAGTGTTTTCATTCCCTGCCGAGGTCTCCTTGGAAGTTGCTTCCACAGAGCTTGTCTCTAGTTGCTCTCCAGCTGATGGCTCCTCTGGAACCATCTCGGCTGTGTGGTTCTGTGACTCCCCCTCGCTGGTGGGAGCTGAGCTCTCCCCTGTGGGACACCCTTCACTCCTTGTGTTTTCTTCCTGTCCCAAAAATATCAACAGCAACAATATGAACAGCAAAGTACTGCGGTTGTGCTATGAATATAATATTTAAGTAGGGTTCTGGTGCAATAAAGGACACCACACCCACAGGGTTTTTCTAACAACCCTTCCTTCAAATTATTTATCATCTGTCCACTGGTAGTTATAAAAGACACTTCTTTTCAACCATTAACCCAAAACAAAGAACCCAAAACAAAGATGTTTTATTTAAGTTTTGCTAGAGGTATTAACAAACTTAGAGCTAAAGCAGTAAGTTTCTGTTAAAAGCCTGCTGTATTTTACCCAGTTATCAAACCAGTTGTTTAGCCAATTCCTCTCCAAAAGGAATTTAGGATTTACAACCTTTACCCCAATAAAATATTACTGACAGCACATGCACATGACTGACCATAAATATAAATCCCTGTAATACCTGGAGCCGTGTAACAAAGTTCAAATACAGCCACACTAGAACTACTGATACAAATCCTCCCATTTTGAAATCCAAATGCCCAATAAATGATATAAAGCAGAACACAGCAAAACCACTGCAATGGTGTTAAATTCCCACCTGGTGATGAGAAGGGAACACAAACCACAAAAGCTCTCATGTTATGGTTGTAACCCTGATATTTTAATCACCATCAGACAATGAGGAATTACCTGAGGCTTGCTTTCAGTATCTTCTTTGGCATTTTCTATTAAAGGTGATACTTCCCTAAAACAGAAGTTACTCAAATTAGAGTTGCTGCAAAAAAAAAAGGGGGACACCTTTAATGTGCTTAGTGGTCACTTTTACTTACAAAGAATCCTCCTGGCTTTGAGTATCCTGAGAAAATAAGGTGGTGTCTTGTGATGCATCCAAGTTGTTGTACATGGCAGGAATGTCAACCCTGAAACAAAACCAGCAATGGGAAGTCAGACCCTTCTTTGGAATTTATCATTTCCTTATTTCAAGGCCACTATTTTCAGATGCATTAAATAATTTTTTATTTCAAACAAGTTTTTGGGGAATAAAAACTGGGATTGGGATCTCACTCTGCAAAGAATTCCCCAGCACTTGCTGACTGCACAACTCAGCCCTGCCCCTCTGGGTGACACAAGTTCTGCTTACATTGGTTTTTGCTGCCCAGGCACAGAAAACACTCCAGTACTAATTTCTCCCATTAAAAAGAGAGGTAATTCTAAAGATTCCTCTGCAATTAAGGTGAGTCCTGGAAACATCCCAATTTCTGACATGCTTCTGACACAAGAGTTCTCTTCAAATTCAGAGGTCCTTCCCTCAGATTGGGTAAAACAACCCGTTCACTTCCACTATTCAAGAAAAATGACATCTTCTATTTCACTGCATGAAGTAAAAATGTAAACTCCAGATTATCCAACTCCAAACAGACTATAGAGGGTGTATTTAATCAAAATAGGCAATGCAGTTCTGAGAGTAATTTGGTTGCTTTAAAACAGCAAAGCAAGGAACTCTTTTAGGTTTAAACTTTATAACCTGTATGGAAGGTCAAGACTCAAATCCGTGTAGTAATCTGAGATACAGGAATTGAAGTTAATTAAATGTGAGCTACTCAATGTAATGACATTTCACATTAAAACAGAATAAATGACAGACCTCTTCGACCTCAGCACTTCTTTCTGATGTTCTGTCAATACTCTTGCTTTTGTTTCTGGAGGAATAAACACAAAATCAACTGATTTCTCCTCTTCCAGAAGTATCTCACTTGGAGTCTTCGAAGATGCAAATTCTAGTTTTAACTGCAGAAAGGGAAAAAACCCCAGATGCTGGGTTAGAAACAGGAACTGAAAATAAGGAGTTCCTTAGGAACACAACAGCCTTCCCTCCCTGTGACAGATCTGTGTACACAGCACAGTCCCACCAAACCCAACATCCACCTCCAGACCCCAATCTGTCAAACCTACAACTAGAGTGAGGTGAGGTTTGTGGGGCTGTCACTCCTCACACCCTCCTTAGATCTCAAAAATCTATAAACTCAGCAGAGAATTCTAGCAAGAAAATTAAATTAGAGTGTGCTGGACAGCTTAAGTTTGAAGGAAAAAATATTCCAGGGCCACAAAACTCATTGTTTTACTGTTTTTCCCTGAGGATTTGCAGCAGCAGAGTGGATGTTCTGGTGCAGAATGGGATGTGTGATTCTCTCACCCCTCTCTGGGAACACTTTACCTTTGCAGGTGTTACTTGCACGTTACTGGACTTGTCTTTTCCATCGTTTTTCTGGTCACTCATCTGTGCCAATATAGAATCTCGTTTCTGACCCAGCTTCACTTCCATTCCACTGATCTTTGCATCCAGCTGGGAATTTTCCATCTATTCCAATAAAAATACACTGCATGAAGAAGCTCCAAGCTCACAAACCCACCCTGAGATGTATTAATTTCTACAGCTAAACTGTCCCACGCTCCCCTTTCCCTCTAAATTACATAGAGGGCAACTTAAATTAATTGTTCAAAGAAGCTTTAAAAGGCATAAAATGTCTAGAACCAGCTCAACCTTTTGACAGTGCTCACCCAGCATAGTTTATCATTCCAAACACGAAACCAGAGCAGGCCAACCATAGTAAAAACCACAAGTGACCTCCTGAAGGATTCCCAGGAAGCCCCAACCAGGCTCAACAAGGTATTTACCGTGTCAGAGAAGGGCCCACTGCATTCTTCACCCATCTCAATGCTTTCAAAGCCAGGCAGCAGGAGAGGAACTTTCTTTTTGGCTTGGCTTAACACAGATCTGCTCAACAAAAAAAAAAAAAAAGGCATTTTAAACTTCTGGAGGAGGAGAAGGGGCACAGCAAGAGCAGCAGATTCCCCAGAAACCAGGACCATTTGTACATAACCCGAGATCTCTTCCTTTAAAGGTACAAACATGAAAAATATCTTACTTTAACTCCTCAGGGTATGTGAGTGAGGCAGTCTTGGCAAAGGTGGAATTCCAGAACTGGGCACACTGGTTCCTGAGCTGTTTGCTCCTGTGCTGGAACCCTGCACAGAGCAGTGGGGAGAGCTGCTCCAGCATCTCACTGTCGTAGGAGCCCGTGCAGTGGGACTGCAGACACTGCAGAATCTCTGCCAGCAGCTTCTCAAGCTGAGGGAGAGAAGAAACAAGAGAGTTTTTACTTAAACTTTGAAATAATATGTGCAATATTTGAATTAAACCCCTATTGAAAACATTATTATCCCATATAACTCTACAGCCTGAATAAATAACTTTAAACATCACACCACACAAAGAGTCTAAGAGCTTAGAGCTCCTCCCCTCAGCAATAAACACATCATTTAAATATATTTAATCTCCACCTTTAATACATTTTTAATTTGTTTTTTTAACACAGGATGAATGGCAAAGCTCTGGTGTCCCACATTTCCCCCAACCCCAGCAAATTTACCTTGTTGTTAAGATTACTGTAGACTTTAGGTACCTCAGGGAGCCTGCCAAAACAAACAGAAAAATTATATTTTGCTGCCTCATTTACCCCAAGCATAAAAATGTAACATATAATACCTTCAAGCTTTGCACAGTAGTTTTAGTGTCTAGTATAGTGTATATTTAGTTTGGTATAGGATATAAAACCTGATGGAATCATGTTGGGAAATGAGCCTCCTGTTGGGTGATTAAACCATTTCTAATGTAGTTTGAAGTCAGATTCTCCTTTAACCCCCACTCATATGCTGAATTTCAGAGGAATTAATGGAAAAGTCAGTGGTAATTAGTACAAACTTAAAGCTTTTCTTATGAAGTACTTCTAACTGCCTGCTCTGTGCTTCTCTTTGCCCTCTCCCCAAACACATTTCCCAGGCCCCAGAAATACCTGCATGAAAAAGCTGAAACACCCCCTAAACTAAGCAATTCCATGTAAGTAAAGCCCTAGAATTAGCCAGATAAATAAGAGGAAACTGCATTTAGTAGCTTATTTTAGAACCCTGCATCCTCCAAGCTGAAGAGGTTCCCAAGCTTGTATTTGCTTGCACATGTCTTGCTTCAAAAATATACCCAGCTTCTCTTTTTTCCTGAATAAATATAAGACAGACAATGCTCAAAGGCTGATGAGATGGGAGATGGAGAGAGGTGGAGTCCAACTCATCCTTACACAGGAACAAGTGGATTCTTGTCCCTGGGATGGGGATTTCTGATGAGTCTTAGGTGAATTTTAGGCAGCCCTGCTCCAAGTTCCAGTAAAGTCTATGACAATTAAATTAGAATAAAGCAGCAAAGCTACATAAAGAAAAAAAACACAAGGAAAGTTTTTCCCAGTACTTCCCTCTGCTGGAAAACTTCCAGGATCTGAGTGTGCAGCCCATTGTAATTTAATTCCTGTAAAATTTTATGCAGTTTCTGCCCACTAGAAAACAAATCATAATTAATAAATATCTTTTCTGCAGTGAAAATAAACAGGAGGTGGAAAGCAAACACTTCATTCATGCAGAGATGCCAACACTTCAAGTCTAAAGAGGCAAGAGTTTTTAAATACCAAGCTTTTTGGAAGTGCTGAGAACCCCTGAGCTCCACTCTGACCTGCTCCAAGAGCACATGACATTGCCCCAGTAAAATGAACCCAGTTTCCCAACCATTCCTAAAATACTCACTTGGTTTTTTCATAAAACACTGCCAGGGGCTTGGAAAAAATGGCAAACATGGTGCCCATCACTGAGGGCAGCGAAATGTGGCTGATGATGTTGTGAAGAGCAGCAAGGACTGAAGGACCCACAGAGATCAGTGTTTCTGAGCAGGTTTCTTGGGAGCTGAACACGTGGAAGGAGTCCAGTAACATCACCAGGAGCTTAAAGAGAGAGGCAAGTTTGCCCAGGGGCTCCTTTTTCTTCTTAGACCAATCTGAAGGTGTCTGTGGAGCTAAAATTAGAAAATAAAAAGTTAATAATTTTCCTTAACCAACGTGCCCTACAGGAAAACACATCTGAGCATTCAGTCTGTGTGAGAAGCAGAACTTTGATGCCCAAACTGTATCCACAACCAGTTTAAAACCAGACCTAACAGAATAAATACATTTTTAATTTTATCATATCTCCTAGTCCTCTTATTTATGATTGGCTTTTGAGACTTTATTGTCTATTTGAAAATAGATAACAACCACTCTACAGATACCAGTGGATACACATAAATTTTGGGAGGAGGAGGGGAGGGCAAATATAAATTTATATTAGTTTATTTATTTATAATATAATTATACACACACACACATATATATTAATAATAATAATAATTTCTTTATAAGTGAAGTTTACATCATGTTTTATCTCATCAACAGTTCCAATCAAAGCATTCCATTCCCTCAGCAGTCCAACACAGCATCTCACTGCTTTAACAAATTCCTGTGGGGCAGAGAAATTAGAAATGCTTCAATTTTATAGTGAATTGTGCTATTTTGTGAATTATCTCTTCAGTTTTTCAGAGAATTTCACGGAGTATTTCACAGAATATTGTGAGTTGGAAGGGACCCACAATGATCATCAAGTCCAACTCTTTAGGTTCAGTAGTTATAAGTGGGAGTAGGAAATAAAACAAAGAGTATTTTACACACAGTGACCCTTTGTCTTCTTAAACCTCCTCCTAACTATTTCATACAAAGCAGGTTCAGGAGCAGAAGCAAAGTGTTGTTAACAATTTACCCTTGGTTTTCAGCAGGAATTGTAACATCAGACTCTGGGTTGTGGCCCAGCATTGCTGCCTCGGAGCAGAGCTGAGCAAAGCAAAAGCACATCTCACAAGCAAAAATGAAATTACAGCCAGAATACCATTTTAGAACCCAGCAGTGTTTAACAGTGAAAAAAAAGAGTGAAGGGGCCTCAATATAAATTTATATAATATATTTATACCAATCTCAGCTGTATTTTGCCAGGCTGTGCAGGAACTGCTCAACAAATAGCAAAGGTCTGAGACTCAAACAGGCTGATTGGATGATAATTTTAATTCCTTTCATGATTTTTGCCAATCCCTTCAGAGGTCAGACAGCACATGCAGCACATTCACACCACTGATATCCTACAGTTGTCACTTCTGCACCCACAACAACACTAATTTTTACCCAACTCTAAGCCACACAGAACCCCCCAGTATTCAAGCATTTCCTTACATCTGGTTTTTGGCTGGTATTTGGTACCATATGGAGCAAAGTTGATGCAGTCAACCATGACTGAGACAACATGGGCGAGACCTTCCATCATGGAAAACATCTGAGGAGCAACAGAAACCATCAGGAACAGGGATCACCACGAGAGAAACAGTGACAGGAAAACACACTTTGGTCATTCAGGACAGAAATGCAACAGCTTTTAATTTAAAGGTGGTGCAACTGCTCTGCACTATCAGACTCAGATAAAATTACATTTTAAATACATTTACACATGATGATGAGTCTTCCCATTCTATACAAATAAGACATAAGCAAATGCACTGTCTAAACAGCAAAGCAGCCCTAAGAAGATTTAAGATGGATCAAAAGAATTAAGGTTCAAGGTTTTTAATCCTCCCAATCCACCAAAAAATCTTCTACATAAAGCCAAACCTGCTTTACAAGGAACACTGATATTCTAGACAATATAAAGTTTCAGTATAACTTGCACACTGAACTTTTAAATTGGTTAAGTTTGGCTTGTTTATCAATTATTGATTTTTGGCATTGATGTTTATCACCAGAATATGGCAGCAACCAAGGTAAGTTATAATGATGCAAACCTCTAAATCCCAGGTTTGCAAATTCCAATGTTTTGCTTGGTTTTTTTCTCAATATTTTTTTAGAAGAGTGAACTTTAGGCACAAAGGGGTTTATCTTCCAAAGCTGATGTTCACATCCAGACACTCCACCTCCCCTCATGGTGGGGGTTTCTTCTTCCAAAAGCTTTCTCTTTTATAAAGCTTTACAAGTGAAGTCTTCAAAGTTTACTTGACAAGGGTGATGCCACCAGAAATTAACAGCAGCAAGTTCAATCTTCCCTCCCTCCTATTTAAAATGCCTGGGTTTTGTGGTACTTGCCAATTGAAGTTACTTGATATACATTTATTTCAACTGGACAAATCCCATTTACCACCATGATAACACTCACTAAACCATTACCACTTAATTAGTTAGGAGACAAATTTAAAGACTGCTTAACTGCTATTTTAAGATTGAATAATAAATAAATAAATTTATCAATAAATTAACAAATAAATTAATAAATTTATTTCAACTGGATAAATCCCATTTACCACCACACTGACACTCACTAAACTGTTATCACTTAATTAGTTAGGAGAAAAATGTAAGAGACTGCTTAACTGCTTTTTTAAGATTTACTAATAAATAAATTAATTAATATCAGTATTTAATATTTATAGTTATTTTTACTCCCTTCAATCCATTTCTTTATCACCTCCAACTCTTTTCTTACAGCTTCAAGTCTCACCCAAACCGAAGCACAAATCAGGAGTTTACACCGGGTTCTTACACCTAATTTCAAATACACCTGCTGGAGTACTTTATAGAGTGCAGTATCACAGGTTTATACTCACTACTGGAGTTTCACCTTCTAGCCCAGCTATAATTTTGGCACACAGCTCCTCACAGCACACGTTCTCCTCGGCTGTTGCCACCAGGGCGGCGCAGCGGGCGAAGGCTCGGTACAGCTCCGACCACGAGCGCAGCAGGGACTTCATGGTTGGCTTGAACACAGAGAAAAAGCTCATCAACACCGAGGTCTGTGCACAGGGGTAAAAGTTTCCTTCTCCTCTCAAACCTGTGTGGCTCTTGAGGGTTTTCAAGTTTAAATGTTGGAGTTTGAAACCTGAGCAGCAGTGCGATGTCGACACGTATTGGTGGCAAATTCCCCCCCCCTGAGATTACCAGGCAGTTTTTACAGACCCCACGTTGGTTTTAATTAATATGATGTATTCAGTGTTACCTGGGGAAAGCCCTGGGTGGGGAAGATGTGTGACACTGGCAGCAGCAATGCACTGTACACAGCACTGAAGTTGTGCTCCAGGGCATCCCCCTGATTCACTTCATTGGTCTGCAACGACAAAGAAGTTTTCTGATTATTGGAGCTGCAAAACTGAGGCGACAAATAAGGCTGTTCCTGGTTCACTGACTCGTACATGAGATCTGTGCAAGCTCAACTGCCAGTGGCAGTTTGAAATTAGCTGTTCTGCTCTTGAAAGAGTTCAGGCTGCTACTAGAAAAGGGATAAAAAGCACTGTCTGTAATTCCAGGAATAAAAGCAATCTATCAGAAAATGTCTTGGGTGTTTTTCACTTAGTTCAGTTGCAGTAAGTGATGACAACAACCTACTCAGTCATGGTTTGGGTGGGAAGGGACATTAAAGCTCATCCAGCCCACCCCCTGCCATGGGCAGGGACACCTTCCACCAGCCCAGGTTGCTCCAAGCCCCGTCCAACCTGGCCTTGGACACTCCCAGGGTTCCAGGGGCAGCCACAGCTTCTCTGGGCAACCTGGGCCAGGGCCTCCCCACCCTCCCAGACAGGAATTTCTCCTTAATCTCTAATCTATCCCTGCCCTCCGACAGTGGGAAGACATTCCCTGTGTCCTGTCACTACCTTCCCTCGTAAATAGTCGGAACACCTAAAATTTTGTTCACAAATTCTAAGATTTTTAGGTCCAACAACTACATGAGGATTAATTAATTCAACAACTCCTACATTACAATCAAAGCATTTCTAGTAAGAACCTGAAAAACCCCTTAAATGTGACAGTTTATATGGCTTCCATTAGGGCTTCCACTCAACAAGTCTAACATCAGTAAGAAATTCTGGTCTAACCACATCCTGAACATCCCAACTTGGGATTTATTACATTTTTCACATCAAACAAACAAGCCTCAGCTCCTGGAGGGCAAGTTTCCATGCTTTGGGACAGCAAGACTACGCCAAGGAATCAAGGCTTGGAGCACATCCATGAGTGTGTTTATAAACTTAAGAAAAGGAAAAAAGCCTTCCCAACCATCCTGAACATTGCACTGAAGAATGATCATCATTGTAAAGCCCACTCTGGATCAAGATAAATGATCAACATAAGGCTTCCCTGTGGGGTTTTGGGGAAGAGAACCCAAAGCCACTGTACCTGATTAATCCATTCTGTCAGAGGATTAACGACAATGCTCCACATTCTCCAAAGGTGCTCCTTGTTTTCCACCTGCTTTGAGCTCTGGTTGATGACACAGATCACAGACTCACTGAAAGCCAGGGGAGATGTGGGCCCAGACAGGACATAACCCACAAGTGTTTCCAGAATCACAAAGAATCTGGGGAAGGAAGTTCAACAGGTCTTTTTTTCAGATATTTTTTCAGGAAAAAAAACCAACCTCTTCTGTGAAGGCTTCTAAGGGAAGTCTGATATAAGCAAGCACCAGCACATACCTCTCATCTGTTACACAGCATTCCAAGAGGTTGTTATGGAAAGGCAGCTGGATTAAGAACAAAGCTGGTGTTCCCTTGGAAGAGAAATTTAAGAGGTCAAAACAACACATCCATTGATCAAATGAAATGGCTGCCCCACATCTCTACCTATATATTATATTTAAGGCAGAAATTTACAATTATTAAAAGTTGTCCAAAATTGTCAATTCTAACAATTCAAAATAAAAATGAAAGCTGGAAATCTGAGCTGCTGCCAGATCCTGGGATTTACTTAGTTCAAGGTTGCAGCAAGAGATCTTTGGGACAACTTCTGCTAAAATCTGACACAAGCATCTCAAGTTGGATCATGTCAGAGAATTAACAAAATGCATTTCACTTCAACCACTCCTGTACCCAAGTCAGAAAATGTAAATAAAGCACTTGTGGTAAAGAACTGGGAGGAATTTGGGGAGCTGAGCTCTTAAGCCAGTTCTAGCAGACAAAGCTTTATCCTACTCAGTTGAGTTCAGCATTTGCTTACCCTTGTTATACTTAGGACTGCTCTCAGATATTTGTCTGCTCTTCAAAGCTTCCAAATCAATTCCATGCCTGGTTAATAAAGTAAATGTTGGGCTAAAAAACTCTATTGCCACTGCTGCAAAATAAAAGGTTGCCTTCTCTCTACTGGTGGATGTAGAAAACCTGATGGTCACCCACTTTTAAAAGTCTTTAAATACCTTTCAACTATTCAGTCTCCTTGCAAAGTACCTAAAATCTGTATTTTAAACCATGACCTGAACCTGAAAAATCCTTTTTCCATCATTACTTCCAGTACCTATCCATCCTTATCTATAGACTGTTAAATTACTCCTCAGAAGTGAGGGCTGGAAACAAAGTCTGCCTTCTGGAACTTTGAATAATATGATTTCCTGAAAGATCTAGGTCTCATGAAGTACAGCTATGACTTCCTAATACCCTTCAGCATAAATAAAGCTCTGGAATAAAGTCAGACTTACATTTAAAAGATCCATATCAGCAACCTGATAAGCTGGTGATCCCAATACTTTTGGAGGCAACTCCTTAACAGTAATATCAATGAGGGACTAAGCAGGGGAAAAGAAAGAAATACACGTAAATATATTTTTCTGAGGGTTCAAATATTTTAAGTAACACCACAAATAAAAGCAAAATTGAAAAAACTGGTTCCCTTTAGCAAAAAGAACAAAAAAAGTCCCTCGGTCTTCTGAAGCAGAAGGTTCTGGCAGGAGAACCATGGACCCAAATGTGCTGATAAATCTGAAAAACACTGTTAAAGCAAAGAAATCCTCACCAGTACTTTCTGCACAGGAAGAGAGCTTGATCTCACAATGTTTTTCAAGGCCTGGAGCAACATAGTGAGGATTTCTGACCCTTGCTTTTCTTTCTTATTTCCTGGAATAAAGAATATTTACAGTTAAAGCAGAACCAAGTCATTCTGACCATCAATAAAAATTTCTATTTAAGTACTACAAGACCAAAAAAAAAAACAACTGTGTATATTTGTAAAAATATACCAAATACTTCAGGGATTCAGAACCAAGTCCCTGCTGTGAACAACAGTGTAACTGAAACTCCAAGGTTTAAATAAACCCCCCCCCCCCGAGTTTTATGAGTAAATGGAAACCTTTGTATCATTAACAACCTTATCTCTGATATATTAAAAGAAGGTGTGGAACTTTGCATTCATCCAAGGAATGCTCTTCATTTCTCTCACCCATTTCAGTTAAATCTTTCAATTTAAAAGGTTTCATTATTAAGAATATTCTGGACTTTCAAAGCCTTTACAGCATTATGGATACTTTTTACAGAGGAAATAACTTTTATACATCTGTAAAGACATCATAATTTACTCTGAAACAATTTAATTACAGAAAAAGGCAGCCATAGTCACATACCCAAGATTTCACACTGATTTGAGTAATATGAATGTCTCCATTTCTACAAAGACTTAAAGTGGGGTTATTTTTTATTTTTTTTTTAAACTGCTTTAAAAAAACCCTATTACTGATGAAGATTAAACCTAAACTTCACCAGCAGGGAAGCAACAACTTTTGGTCTAGTTTTAAAACCTCCATACAACCTTTAACTGGTCAGCAATGACAGACTGAAAAACCATGACACTTCTTACCTGATTCAATTGCTGTTTTTACATATCCATTTATGTCCTTCCATATAACATTCAGCATACAATCTACAAGGCAGCAAAATGTTTTTATTCAGCGTGCAATAAAAAATAAAAACACTAAATAAAATTGCAGGTAAAGTAACAAATTGTGTTCAAAGACAGACTTTGATTTAAGCAAAAAATTAGCTAAGTTTTCAAAGTCAGGCCAGTTCTCTTTAATGTAACATCAGGATATTGCACAAAGTGCTTATTTCTTATGTTTCCCTCTCCCAGTTGATTTCCCAGACAATAATGAAATTCCATCATTAAATTCTTACCAGGAACTTCTTTTCCAATTGCAATAAAGCCATCCTGCACTGCATTGATGAGTGTGCTGGCATGCTTACAAAAAAAAGAAGGGCTGCTGATCAGTGGGGACTGGAGAGGCTCTAGAACAAAAAAATATGATCCATAAAGCTGTTGTTTTGCAGTTTACTGGTAAGATAAGCCTTAAAAATAAGCATTTAACACAACATCTTAAAGATGACAGCTAACAGTTTTAACTGTTTACAGCATTCCATTCCAACAGACATCTTTAAATCCAATAAAACTGGCGATGAGATTATGCAAAAATACTTAAAAAATATATAAAATTCACGTACCTAAACTGAGTACAAGTTTGTTTTGCTTAGCAAAATCTAAAACTCCTGGTCCCATCAGGAAGTGCAGCAGCATTTCAATGCCCAGGAGCTGGATGGAAGAAAACACCACCCCTCCTGCTGGGCTGGAATTCAGGTTTATCCTCGGGGTGGCTGGACTCACCAATGGGTAAGGACCTAAAAGAGGGGAGAAAAGTCCATTGCCTCACATTCCAAGAGAAAGGAAAGATCCAACAGACCGAAATCTCATAGGAAAAGAACCAACTATTGCATAGGGTTGGTTGAAAGGGACTTCTAGAAGGCAGACACTCCCAAGGGGGGTTTAACAAAAGCATTTTGCCCAAACTCAGTTGTGATCTCACCAAGATGAACTTTTTTAAGGAGGGAACACAGGAAACTCCCCAAATCCAGGACACCTCCACAACATACCTGAGCCTCCTAATTACAGCAGTCAGAATGACACCAGCTGGGAATGCCAGGCTTCCACAAAGAGAAGGAAAAGAGGCACTTCCTTATCTCAGATAGTTGGATGTAAAGCTCAAGGAGGTGTGGTTTCACATTAGTACCAAAGCTATTGATGCATCATGATCACTGGGCAGAATTAGATGGGATATTGGGAAGGAATTCCTGGCTGGGAGGGTGGGGAGGCCCTGGCCCAGGTTGGGCAGAGAAGCTGTGGCTGCCCCTGGATCCCTGGAAGTGTCCAAGGCCAGGTTGGACGGGGCTTGGAGCAACCTGGGATACTGGGAGGTGTCCCTGCCCATGGCAGGGGGTGGGGCTGGATGAGCTTTAAGGTCCCTTCCCACCCAAACCATTCCATGATTCTACACTATTCAAGCAAAAACTAAAAAATGCTACAGAAAATAAAAGGGCACAAATAAATAGCACACATATAAATACATGAAAAGTTAAGTTTCAAACCAGAGCTCCCTTGTAAGAGAGAACACATTCAGGACACTAAAACTGGTCCTGGCAATATGGAGCACAATTTTTTAAACTTTAAATGCTGACTGGAACAGCCTCGTTTTCCCCAGTGTGAATCACCACCTCTGAGCTCTGCAGAAAAGTTCCTGGTTTCAATAATCCATTGTAAATGAAAAAGCATGAAGATGTTAAAGAGAGCAGGTGATTCTGCACCCAGGGTTTAGCTGGGAACAGGCTGCTCCTCCAATACCTGGTTTCTGCCCAGGGGTGGCTGAGCCCAAGCTCTGGTTGGCTGGAAGGCGTGAGGGGGTTCCTGGGAATGCAGCAGCAGGATCCAGACTCAGAGTGCTTTGGATTAATGGGACACAGACCTGCAAAGAGATCACACCTCAGTGAAAATGGCTATAACTCACACAAGCCATAAACCACACATCTCAAACATCACATAGAGCTGCTGTTCACAGCATTGGTGTTTCAGAGTTTCTGGGTACTTTTAATATTAAGATGTATAATGATAAATTAATTAGGAATGCCTAAATTAAACAAAAAGTCCTGGTAGATATGATACAGCTGGATCACTCTAAGGTACTTTTCCCCCCCTCTTTACTCCCATCCTGAAGTTTAACTTAATGAAATTCAGGTGTTGAATGGAAACATTATGATCATTCCAGTTAGCAGTGACAGTAATGAAACACCAGGACCATTTTTCCCCTCCATCTTCCTAAATATTTGATGGTCTTTTCATTAAGTTTTCCTATGGCAAACTTTCCAAAGCACACCCTTTCTTGGTGAAAGGGTAAAACAACCCTTAAATGACGTGCTTGTGCTCCCTGTTGTGCAGTCACTGGACAGTTCCAGAGATGCTCCCAGGACTTTCAGACAGGCCCCCAAATCTTTTGGAACTTGAGGTTCCAAGGGCACATTTAATCCCAAGTATTTCTGCTGTACTACACAGAAGACACACACAGAGCACAGAAATGTGGAGTCAAGTTTGGTTCCTTAAGGCAGTTCTATTCCATAAGATAAAACCAGATAAGCTAAAAATCAATCAAATAACCTAGAGGAGGATGAAGCAGGCAGGAATATGTTAGAGTAACCAGCAGAGGACTCAGCCCAGGACTGTTCCCAGCTGTGTTACCTGTTCAAAGTTTGAAGGCAGGTGAGTTCCCAGCCTCATGAGTAAATACCACCAGACCTCCAGCTTGGTGAGTGCCAGAGCCTCTGTTCTCACATGGATCGAGCTCAGGGGCTGCATCAGTAATTTCAGCCTTTTAGCACTGCACAGGATATCTGGAAGACCAAAAAAAGGGCATATTTTAAGCAGTACAAATAATTAAACCACAGGGCAAGAAAAAAAAAAGGAAAATAATTAAACCAACAGGGGTTTTTAGCTAAAAGTTCAATGAGTGACAATTTGCAGAACTATAATACATAGTAAATGCACCAAGCTTTCAGACTGTCTTACTGCTCTAATTGTTGTCTAGAACACCTCTGGAAATACAAGTATTTCTTACCAAGTGAAATCTAGTGAGTTCCAACAAAACTACCCTTGCACTCTTAGTTGACATGGATGTGCATTGGCACTGGGTGAGAAGGAAGGATCTGAGGCTGCCAAGGATCATTTGCCACTGCAGGAGAAATGGCACAGCAGGTCTGGACAGACCTTTGCTCAAGCCTGTGCAAGTGTTTAAGGAAGAGGAAAAACTTCTGCCCAGCTCAGCAGCAGCAGAACCTGCCCCTCTGCAATCCACAGGAGCTGCTCCTGCAGCTGGAAATCCTGGCCAGCCACCCTGGGACACGAACAGCCAACACCAGCTGGGCCAGGGATTTTATCTTCCCATTAAATAGAACCTTTTAATCAAGTTACGTGAAATAATGATCAGAACAAATAATAAGAAACACAATAAAATGACAATTAAAGATAAATTCAGCTAAGCTAAGGAATGTCCACAATTAGTTCTCTCTTCAGAACACAGAGAGAAACACAATCAAGATAAAAACCAAAATATTCTGTGCTTTGACACAGACTGGACTTACAACTTGCTCAGGTCTCAGTTATACCTTTAAAGCAACTTTTTTAACACCTCTACAATCCTGAAGCACTGTCCTTTTCCAGTTAATCCCCACTGTCCAAAATAAGATGTACAGAACGTTTTATTCTCTATTTCACTGCTGTTTGGATCAGTTAAAGCATTACAAAACAAATGTAATATTATTCTATTCCTATCGGTCCCAGCAGAAAAATTAAGATAGAACAAATGATCAAACTGTCCTTTTGCCTTAAAAATAAAACAAAACAAGAAAAAAAAACCCAACAAAGAAACCCAACATCTTGAATTTTATTTATGTCTATCCCACTGTGTGTTTGTGTACACCACAGACACACCAGGTGTGAATACTCTATTCCCATTAGGGGAAGTGACAGTAAGCAAAATAATTCAGGTTAATTTTTGTTTTAAATCTACCTGGGTTTAGAGCAAAATTATCTATGAGACTCTTCCATGCAATGAAGGCAATTTTCTTTACCACTGGGGAGCCACTCCGAAATCCAAGTTCCTCCAGCTGCAACAGGGAGTTGATGAAACTCCCACTACGATGGAGAGTCTGGGGATGAAAAAGTTCAAAATTGAGGTATTTTAATGCTGTTAAAAACACTTTTTCCTGAAGATTCATGATTGTAGAACTCATTATTTTGCTGCTTACCTTCCCAAGCAGTTTGACAAACAGTGGCCACAACTTCAGCACAAAAGTCTCGTTTTTTGCAGAAAACAATTTCTGAAGCTCAGAAATCAACTTCTGCAGGCAGAAAGAAACAGCATTTCTACAAGAAATACAGTTAAAATATTCTAACAACCACATCCTCACGCCCATTTTGAGTAGGAGGCTAAGCTAGACAATATGAGTTACTGCCACACCAACTTCTGACTGAATTTGGTGAGCAAATTCCCTTGCAGAGACAACAGAAGTTTAATGGCATTTATGAGTTAATGCTGTTAAGACCGGTGCTTGAAGCATTTAAAAGCAGCAAGTTATTTTCCTGATCAATGATTATTTTCCTGATTAATGGTTCCTGTCCAGACACACTGTTATTTTTACACTGCTCCTGTATTTACACTGCTGTTACATTAATTTTTCCCATTAAAGCCACAGCCATCACGAAGTTGGCTGTGAATGTTTTTGCTGCCATTATCTAGACTGTAAATACAATTAAACATAAAACTGCAACCAACCAACCCCCCCATCACTCCTGCTGCTGCCTGCAGACCAAACCCACGGCATTGCCACTCACTGTGGTCATGAGGTGCTCGGTGACAGCTGCCACCTCCTGCTGTTTCTGCAGGAGCAGTGGCATTCCCATCTCCAGGGCAGTGGCCCCTCGCAGCTGCACCTTGTGAGCAGAGTGGACAACCAGAGGGATGATGAGCTTGGCCCACCTCACAGCCTCCTCTCCCATCTGGGCTGGGGTTTGCTCCATCAGGCTGGATCCAGAGAACAAATACAGGGATTACCAATCTCCAACAGACCCTTCAGGGAACCAAATTATCTTTGTGATATCAATAAATGCTCTAATTCAATGTATGATTTAAAGGAAACCACTCTAAACTTCCTAAAGTTTTTTTCCAAGCAATTCATTCATTGGACAATTCATTCAAAACTGCAAAGCTTCAGTGTTATTTTAGACAAACCTCTCCAAAAGCACAACAGACTGACATCTGCAGTGTCCCTTCTGCTCTGTCACAGTGATGTGGGCAAAGGAGCTGAACAAGAGCCTGACAGGGACATTCCTTATCAATGCCCAAGTCCCAGGTTGGCACATGAACCATCCCTGGGTGTTCCCAGCAGCCCAGGCAGCTCCCACACACTCTGTGTGCTGGGAACAACACAGGCCTGCTCCTGGAAAACTCCAGCCCAGGTTTGCACAGGCTCCATGCACGTCACCCTCCTCAAGTGCTTTTGTTTCATCCTCCTATTCCAAAGCTGTCACGGCTCCAACATTCTCAGAACTCCAACAAACAATTCCACATGTTTACACCATCCCACACAAGCCAACAAGACTTTCAGAAATGGGAATAACTGGCATATACCCAAACCAGCCTGGAGGAACCAGCTCATCCCTAGAAACACTGGAATTTTGGCAAGTGGCCCCTTTGACTCAGGTAAGTCAAAACTATCCCTCCTACAGCTTCCAAAGGGAAAACTTCTGCCTTTCAAGGAATTTTATTAAAGCCAGAGGACAAGCACTGCTTAAAAGAACTGTTTCACTTTAAAATGGATTTGCAGCTCAAATCAGTTGCCAGAAGTTTAAGAGAACACTTAAATAACAGCAGATACAAGCTCAGTATATTTACTAATATTAAGATAAAATTTGAACATTTTAACACTGCTGACCAAGAGAATGCACTGTGTTGGTCCTAAAAAGTCACCTGTGGAATTAAACAGGAATCTCAACAGTGTCATGAGAAACACTGCAGGAAAATGTGGAAAACATCAAGGGGACATGTTTCAATAAAACCCCATGTAATGGGGGAGAATTTCTCAGCCAGGTAAGTTCTGGAAACAAAATGTAACTGAAGCAGACTTGAGACTTTGGAAATAATTCCTAACAAGCCACTTACAAATGAAAGCAAGACTTTCAGCTGGACACTGTCTAATTTGTGCATCAGAACTGTCATATTATCATGAAGGCAATTGTTTGCCATTATAATGACATACACAACAAGTGATGCACAGTGCAATTGCTCCCACCCCCTGACTTCATGCCCAGCACCAGCCCCTGACCAGCTTTCCCCAGTTTACATCTGGGCACGATGCCACATCCTATGGAATATGCCCTGTGTCCCAGCTGTGTCCCCTCCCAGATTTTTGTGTCCCCCAGCCCCTCACTGGTGGGGTGAGAAGCTGCAAAGTCCTTGACTGGGAGCAAACACAGCTCAGCACCAACCAAAACATCCCTGTGTTATCAACACTGTTCTCATCCCAAATCCAAACCACTGCACCAGCTACGAGGAAGAAAATTACCTCTATCCCAGTCAAAACTGCAGGAAAACAGTCCTTAACACACTGAGCAATTCAAAGAGGATTAAGATTTTTTCTTTGGTATATTTAGTGTCACTGAGGTTTTGTTTATCAAGAGTTTTCCCCTCAAATCAAGCACCTACTTTAACAATTTAACACTGAGTGCACCCACCGTATGATGACATTAAGTGCTTCATATTCAACCACAACAGACTGTACATCTCCTTTGGTAAGGATTGTTTCCAGGGAAGAGAGAATATTGGACACCTGAGGGAATAACAGAACATCAGAGTGAGCACCTAGATACCAATAATTCCATGGGGAGCCGGAATGATGAAATTCCATTTTCCAGGACCGTGTCTGGATTAGGCCAGGTCTCGTTTTAAGGTCAGAGCTCTGAGCAAACTGGAACGTTCAGAGTATTTTTCCCTGTTTCACTGGTTTCTAACAGAATTGCTCACATTGCAGCTTCTCCTTCGAGGGAAGCAATAACTTCAGGCTCAATTTTTCCAAGAACTTAGGCTGTGAAATTCGACGGAAAACGACCTTCAGATTCAAAAAGCTACCGAGTGGAGCGACCAAGAGATTGCACATGGGGCCAGCAAAAAGAAAAGGGAAAAGAAAGAGTAAAAAACTCACCTCCTTTTTGACAACTTCAGGAGGAAAGGCCTGCTTGGAGATGACCCAAAGTGCCCGAGTGCGGGTGTTTTTGTCGGAAGACTTCACGGCGACGCCGTTCACTGCCGAGAGCAGATCCTGCATTTCCGTGGCTGGAAGCACAGCAAACACACAGCCCTCAAATCCTGGGCGAGTTCCAGGTCATTCTGCTCACTTAACACTGCTAAAGATCCGTTCATTTATAAGTATCAGTGATTTAATGCCTCAAACATTACTTTTGGGCAGGTTCTCTCAGAGCAAAGTAGCAAAAAAAGCTCCAAATGTATCAATATAGAGATACTATTAAAGTAGTACATATTGGCTTTATAAGAATTCACAAAACCATGAAACTAGAAGGCAACTTTAGCTAAATACACTGGAGCTAAAGATTAAGTATTTAACTATTCAGAACTTCTTGGATTTCAAGGGAATTTAGCAGCACTGCTAAATGGACACCAATAAATTCATTTTAGGGTCTACAAGAGGCTTTATCATTAAAGAAGGGGGTAAAACTGTAACTCAGTACACAAATGAGGTTAACATAGACTTGTAACCAGGAAGAGTGATGAAACTTGTGTTCCTTTCAAATTCCAAACTAATGAAGTCTGATTTATTACAAATTTAGGCTCTGTGGGCAAATGATCTCAAAATCAGAGAAGCTTAAGGGCAAATACACTCCTTTTCTCAATCAGAAGTACACCCAGAAGTACATAAGCTGTTTGTCCTCATTCCTAAGTTTCCATTGTTCTCAGGAGTTCATTATTTCTGGAGCCTGACGTTCCCCAACAAAATTAACTGTAATTTATCAGCTGGTTAAAAAAAAGTTTAAAAAAAAAAAAAGGGAGTTATGGGGGACAAGAAAGGGACCACACAGACACTATTACAGATGCCTCATTCTCAGAAGAAACCAGAGTAAATTTTGGATAACAGGAAAGCAGGACACACTGAAAAACTGAGTAGAACCAAAAGAATCCATTTCCAACAGAATGGCAGTCACAGGAAAAACACCCCCTCTGCACACCCACACAGATGGTTCAGTTCAGTCTTGCCTCAGGTTGAGTTTCTCTCTAGCAAAGGTCATTCCAGAACATTTGTCCAAGGGCATTTAACACTTCTTAGCAGAAGGAAAAAGACAATGATTGACTGCACACAATTTGCTCTTTGCATTTAAGCAGCACCACAGACTCCCAACACCACAAAGGCACCACACGACAGCCACAGCACAGCACAAATTCCTTGTGTGTCCACGGAAAACAACCCTCTTCCACCACCACACAGTGACACTGAGCAGCTTCCAACTGTGTTATTCCAAGTGGACCAACACCCAACACCTGGAATGTGTAACAGGACCAGCCAACCCGGCCATCAGCTCTCCCCTGTTCCCAAAACCCTGTGCTTTTTTTACCTGGATGCAAAGCCTCGAGTTCTCAGCAGCAAAACCTTTGGTGAAGGGGATTTAGCACTTTCTGGGAATGCAGGTCATAAGATTTTTGGATTACTCTGGATTAGTTTCAGTTGAAAAACCCACCAGCCCAATATTTGGGGCTGGACTAGATGACCTTTAATGGTCTCTTCAGACTCAAACCACTGTAGGATTTAACAACCAGGAATTACCAGGTAAGAGTGGAAAACATGGAAGAGCACTGCTATGCACACCCAAATTCTACACAAGCAGGTTCGTCACTCTTTTTCCACCTGGACTTTTGATTACTTATTTCACAAAATTTCTTTTTGCTTTCCGTTTTTGATTGCTAACTCCAGAAAAATATTTACAGAATCTAATTGCTACTAAAGCACTTAATGAAATTAGAAGTTAATAAAACAGAATCAGTGTTAAGAACGTGAAAAAATACCCCCTTCCTTGTGTACAAGATGGAATTAGTGAACAGCTCACACTGCTCATGTTAGAGACAAAGCCACTGCACCACTTGGGAACTGCAAACCCGGTCAAAACTGAAATAAATGCTAAGACAGACAAAGAAAGAACTCCAATGTACGTATTTATACACACAGGTTTGTTTGCTTACCAGATAATTCAGCTGTATTAGCTGAATTAAAAGTGCAGAATCCCAAGGCCTGCAATGCTGCATTACTGAGCTCGGAGTTTGGACTAGAAATGTGTGCCTGGAAAAAGAACAGGAAACCACAAAGTCTCAGGTTACAGAAGTAGCTGAGAAATATTGTCTTAATTGTCTGAACAGCAGCACTTCTGGGGAGCTGTCAGAAGCAAACACTTGGTGGGAAATGCACCCCTGCAGGAATCCCTTCCTGATTCCATAAACTCCAAATCAAGAGGACAATGTGAGGTGCTGAGGACATTTTTGCTCTCTGTGTTCAGACATCTTTCCTGAAGTAAATTCTAAACATGCCAAGTCCTTTACTTTGGTTATGGATGTTACGTTCTATCACTTGACTCTCCAATTGTTTTTAAACATCTAAAACAGGGGAGAAAAAATGGCTAAGAACAGTCTTCACATTATTCTTTAAAAAAACCTGACATTTACTGCATATTCTGAATTCTGAAGTGTTTCTAGAGGCAGCCACAACACACTGTATCTGTTCTGGCTGGAAGATTAGATTTGCCTCTGTGATGCTGCCTGAGCACATCCAAGACCCTGATTTTATTGTTCACTCAAGTGTAGAGAACAGAATTAAAAAAAAAAATACCTTAAACACTTTGCAGAGCTGAGGAAAGTGTTTTCTGACATCTGCAATGAATACTTTGCCTCCTTCACCACTCAGGCGACTTTCAGGAGCAGAAGGGAAAACAAAACAATATTTACAAAACAAACAATATTCACAAACACAACTGACATAACTTCCAATTTCTGAGACGCATTAGCCAGGATATTTTCTCTGGAGGAAATAAACACAACACCAGAGAAGTTAAAGAGCAAAAATATCAGTCACAACATGACCCAGCAGTAAAATACTGTGTTATAGTATAAAGGAAAAAAATGAAGTGATTAATGACCCATTTAGTGCTTAAAGAACATTAAAAAAAACACCAAAGACTTGAATTTTTTGGTCAACTTCCATAAAAACATTAGAAGTTAACACCCAAACTTAAAATGACTGCTGAAAAGTTACATTTAACAGAAATCTATGAGCTTAAAAAGCACATTCCTCATAACCAGCTCCAGAATTCAGGCTCCCAACCCCATCCTGGCTTGACAACAAGCAAGGATGATTTTGCACATATGTGAAGAACATCCATACAGGAAAGTTGTAATTAAGTTCAGTCATCCTGAGGACAACCTGAGAAACCTGATGGGATTTATGTATTAAGTCGGGACTTTATTTTTCTGTCAGTTGTTACTAGAAACTTGTAAAAAAACCTGAGTAATTACAGCTTTAAAAGTCCTACAGAACCACAAGGCAGGAACCACGGGAGACACTGATGGAAAGAGATGGTGCCTTTGCACATGATAAAATGGGAAAGATGCAGGTGAAGAAGCACCTTTCAGAAAGAAACGCAATTAAACCAAGGCACGATCATTCCAAAACCCGAGAAACGCAATAAAAACCTCACCTCTCCAATCGTAAAGCTGAAATGCAGGCCTTTTTTTTCATTTAAAAAAAAATAAAGTTATTATTTCCCAATATTCCTTTGCCCACCTTTGCAGATTCCCCAGGAAGTGCGACAGGGAAGGGAGGCTCTGGGATGCTCAGAGCCTGTAAAGGCGAACTCCTTCCTTCCTCCATCCTCCCTTCCTTCCCTTTCTCCATCCTCCTTTCCTTCTCTTCCCTTCCTTCAATCCTTCCTTTGCTCCTTTCTTTTCCTCCTTCCTTCGAAGGAAGGAGACATCCACCCATCCATCCATCCTTCCCTTCCTTCCTTTCCCTGCTCTCCTTCCCTCCCTCTCTCCACCCCCAGGCCCGCGGGTCTCCCGCGGTCTCCCCCCGCGGCCCCGCCGCTCCCAGCCCTTCCTCCCTCAGCCCAGCCGGGGCAGGCGCGTCCCTGGCCCCGCCTCCCTCATCCCCGCCGAGGCAGGCCCTGCCGCGGCCCTCCCCGGGCTCTCTCTCTCTCCCCTTGCCCGGCCGGCCCGGTCCCCTCAGGCAGCGTGCACGTGCCCCCCGCGCCCACCTGACGATGGTGAGGTGCGCGTCCGTGAGCTCTCCCGGCGGGGCGGCGGGGTCCTGCAGGGTGTGCAGCAGCGGGGCGAGGCTGGGGCCGGCGGCGGGGTCAGTGTGAGCGGTGGCCGGGGCGCTCACGGCGGCGGCGGCCGGGGCGCTCATGGTGGCGGCGCTGGCGGCCCCTCGGCCCCGCGCACCTCCCGCGCTAAGATGGCGGAGCGCGCGGGCCCGGCGGCGGGCGCGGGCCCCGGCCAATGGGAGCGCGGCGGAGCCGTTCCCGCGCGCCGCGGCGGCCCCGCCCCTCGCCGCTGATTGGCGGGGGCGCTGCGGGAGGGGCGGGGCGGAGCGAGGGGCGGGGTCTCCTCAGCGCTGAGGGCGCTGGGTCTGCCCCGGCCGCCCCTCCGTCAGCCCTTACATCGTGGGATTGTGGGATCATGGGATGCATCCGCAGGCATCATCCAGTCCGGCCGCAGTCCTGCCCAGGACACCCCAGCAGTCCCACCCTGTCCCTCAGAGCGTTGTCCAAACCCTCCTGGAGCTCTGGCAGCCTTGGGGCTGTGCCCACTGCCCTGGGGAGCCTGGTCAGTGCCAACCACCCTCTGGGGGAAGAACCTTTTCCTGAGATCCACCCTGCCCCTGCCCTGGCACAGCTCCAGCCATTCCCTGGGTCCTGTCCCTGCTCACACAGTGCTGCCCCCCGCCCGCCCCTCATGAAGAAGCTGCAGACACCGATGAGGTGAAATCATTAATTTTAATGACTGGAAATTAACCTTCCAGCCGGCCTCCAGGTCCATAAAATCCTGCCGGCATCACCCGAAATTCCCTGAGCACAGGATGTCGCGCCCGGTGGGATGGAGGTGACGCCTGCGGGCTGCAGGGGTGACTGGGGGTGGAATGGGAAATACCAGGACTGGCAGCGAATCCAAAGTGTGGAGAATCCCTGTTTTTCAGGGATAGAGACAGACCTGAGCACTCAATGGCTGAACCTTCCTCAGTCACCTGCACTGGCGATGCCCGGCAGGAGTGACTGTCCCGGAAAAAGTCTCTTCCCAAAATCCTGTCCCCAGCTCCGGCTCCATGAGGGTCTCCAGACAGGCAGGTATTCCCTGCACACCCCTGGATCTGATCCATGTCAATTCAAGATCTGTCGCTTCTCAGTTAAAGGAAGAACAACAAACCCCAAACCGTAAAAAATTACCCCAGGTCATAAATAAAATGTTAACCGTTCTCTTCGTGCTTTTCCTTGTTCTATTCCTCATTTGCAAGCACCACCTTGGAGAACTGGAATGGTATTGTATGTCTGTGAACACAAGGTGGCAGGATTAAAAAGCAGATTTTAGGTACAGCTACATCCCATAAATGTAGGGATACTGAACTTGTTTCCCGATGGAACAGGAATAAAGTGTTGGAAATAACCAGGAGAGAAGCTGCAACACTGTCCTCCAGTACAGCCAAGCAGCAGGATCATATTCCCAGTGAAATTACAGCAATAAAAGCTCAAAAATGAAATCAATTAAAAGAACTGAGCATTAAGATAAATAAAGCAAAGATAGGTTTGATTAGCTCAAGATCCTCCTTGTGGAAACCGTTTTCAGAGGGATTCACAACACTCCAAACAAAATGCAATTCCCGGGAAGATTCTGAGTGGACATTAGCTTTGGGGCCAAGAAAACGCTCAGAGAAATAGAGAAACCCTTAAAACTTATTTACTGCTTTAAATCAAGCAAATGTGCCAAAGTCTGAAAAGTTCTAAAGAAATAAAAATAATTCATTGCAAACTCAGGACGGGATTAAAACAGAGGTAGCTTTAATGCTGCTTCAGACTGAAGTTAAAAACATGTAGAGAATGATTTAAGTTCATCAATTTAAAACAGAACAGTCTTAAACCCATGTAAACAATATCCAACATCTCAACAGTGTCCATAAAATGAATTTATGTGTCTTAAAAATAAGCTTATTCTAAAGGCCCTTAGAGTTCAAGAAAATCGGTTAATTAAATGAATAGTTGTGTGTGGAGAACAGGAAAAAAAACAAAGCAACAGTCTAAAAAATAAATATGTAGAAGTCAAGAAAAATAAGGAGAGAACAGCCTATTAAATTTTAAAATAGTTGAAACAGTCACACAAAAACTTTGATCAAACAGGACAAGAAATGAGGGGAAGGAGCAGTTTATATACAAAAATAATTTTAAAATCTATGGTAACAGATTTTTACAGTACTTGTATCCTAAAAATAGTTTTGTATTATTCATGTAAGTGTATTTTATAATTTATTTCCTAGGGTAGTTTATTAACAAAACTCGTAGAAAAGCTGAAAATAAAAAGTCAGGAAGAGATGAACAAAATGTCTTATCTGAAGACACAGATATCTGCATTGGGTTCATTCTAGGACAGGGTTCTTAACGAGTGTATCTGGTTCCTCTGCTCACATGACACCGAATTTTCCGGATAAGTAGTTTGTTTTTCCTTGGGATGTTGCATTCCTTCCATCCCCTGCCTTGGAAGGCGTGTCCATGGTAGTGTATCTGATCTGAAACCCACCAGCAGTGACTGAGGCATCTGTCAAAAACTTCAAGGTCATCACGTTGCCTGGGACAAGGAAAAAGAGAAACAAAGGTTACATTTCGGGTGGCATAAAAATGTGATATTTCAGGGGTTTATTTTTGCTTTTGAAGTGCTCTTGGTTGCTGAAATTCTGAGATTTTCACAGCAATCCACCGGCTCTAGAAAGAACTGCGGAGGGTTTTTTTACCAGAAATAAATTACCTGTGCTGATGATGTCATCTGGCAACTCATCTCCACAAAACCTGGAAAAAGATAGGAATATTCATGGTTAAAGGATACAGGAATTGTGGCACGGAACCTGCTCTGAGCTGGGGCTCTCGGGCTGTTCTTTCCTTAGAGAATAAGGGGATAAATTGGTTTTAAGTCTTCGGTGTGTGCAATTTTATGGTAAATCTACTACCTAAAGAATTTTTAAATGTTACCCCACAGTAAGGTTTAGAGGAGGGAAAAATGCAGGAAGTAGCTCTCAATATACTCAGGAAGTAAATAATGCAAGGCAAGAAAAAAAGCAATTTAACAAGGCATTAAGTAGAAGAACAGCAGCCCAAGGATAAGAAAGGAAGAATATTGTCAGAAAAAAACCATTTAAAATTATCTGTAAAAGCAAAACACACAGAATATCCTTGCTTTGCTATGTATGATCTGTAGGGAGGATGTGAAAAGTGGCAGGAATTGGGAAGTGCCTTTTATCACTTTTTGTGGTTTGGCTTTTGTTTGTTTTGTACAGTCCCTGTACTGGAAAATGGAGATGTTTCACACCAAAATATGACTTATAAAGGTTAAGTAAAAGAAAGTGAGAATTAAGCAAAGAAGGAACTAAATCTAATAAGAGAGATGATATATAGCACTTGTTCTGATATTAGCTAATGCTTCACTTCTGTAGCAAATAGCAAATTAAATATATTTATTTTTGCTAACATCTCACCTCCCTCCTTTCGATTAAAGCAAACACAAAATGCTGTTTGAGATTCCTGAGAGTCCTTCCTGTGAAATACTGGAGAATCAGGATAAGTAGCTGACTAAAAAGCCTTGCAGCTTTCTTTCATCTCGTTTAGCAAAGCAAAAAAAGGGCAAAGCTCCCTTCCCTGAAACTCTTAACAGGCATGTGTTAATAATATTAAAGTAAATTGGGAAGATTAAAGTAAAGGAAGGATAAATCAGGTCCTATTGCTGCAGGAATTATGGACATCCCAGCAGTGCTAATTGGATAAGGGATACAGTGTCCTCCTGAAGTTCTGGGGGGCAAATTTAATCATTTATTTGCATCTTAAAGCTGGATTTGCTTTACCTGCCCACAAAGCCATTGACATCATCGTAGCTGTCATAGACTTCCAAGAAATCTGCCATACAAGCGACGTCATCTTCCACGTCAAACTCCAGGAACTGCAGGTGGATCCTCTGCCCATACTTGACTCTGATGTGCCAGTAGCAAATCTGCTCGTTTTCATACTCATTTGGGTACCCTGGTGACTTAAAAACATGCCTGGAATCTGTGAAGACTCCACCACACTCCTTTCCTAAGAGAGAAATAAAAACGTCAGGGTTTAAGTATTCCTTCTGACTGTGGCTATGGTTTGAATCTTTGGGCAGATCCATTAAAAAATCCCACAGGAACAGCGATAGAACTTCTCATATGTTCAAGCACTGGGTGAATGTCAGTCATTCCCAGCTTTTGGGACAAGGTATTTTGGAAGCGAGAGGTGAGCACTGAATTCAGAGGAAAAGCTTTCATTGACTTCAGTGGACTTGGGGCCAGAGCTGTGTGTTTTGTGTCAAAGGCATTTGGGATTTCTGGCTCCTTCAAGCTTTACAGCTGGACTTGCAAGTCCCCTTGACTCTCAGCGTCAGCCTTTCTTCTTCAAAGACCTCTTCAAAGAGATTTCTACGAAAAGCCTTCTGAAGGCTGGTGGTCACATACATGGGGGTGTACTCCTGTTGTTCCTGCAGCTCTTCACTCCCTTTGGGATGAAAACACTTGTTCCAGTTTGATTCATGCTCCAGTAGCTGGAATAGTGTGTCCAGCTCTGGGGCTGCAACACAAGAAGGACTGGAGCTGCTGGAGCAAGTCCAGAGGAGGCCACGGAGCTGCTCCCAGGGCTGGAGCCCCTCTGCTCTGGAGCCAGGCTGGGAGAGCTGGGGGGGTTCAGCTGGAGAAGAGAAGGCTCCAGGGAGACCTGAGAGCCCCTTCCAGGGCCTAAAGGGGCTCCAGGAGAGCTGGAGAGGGACTGGGGACAAGGGATGGAGGGACAGGACAAGGGGAATGGCTTCTCCCTGCCAATGGGCAGGGATAGATGGGATATTGGGAAGGAATTCCTGGCTGTGAGGGTGGGGAGGCCCTGGCCCAAGTTGCCCAGAGAAGCTGTGGCTGCCCCTGGGTCCCTGCAAGTGTCCAAGGCCAGGTTGGATTTGGAGCAACCTGGGCTGGTGGAAGGTGTCCCTGCCCATGGCAGGGGGTTGGACTGGATGATCTTTAAGGTCCCTTCAACCCAAACCACTCTGGAATTCTGTGATTCTATGATCACTGCCGGGTGAGATGTGCATTTCAAACACCAAAGAATTCCACAAGTTCCTCATCAGGTGACATCTTCAGCATCCTGGAGCAGAGCACAGGCTCAGTTCAATCAGAGTTTTGTCTTTGTTCCCCTGGCTCCTCACCTCCTCCTCCTCCAAACAGCCCCACCAGGCTCTGCAGAGCATGAACAGAAATCCTTTCAATGTGAGAGGCTGAAGCTCTGCCGTGTTGGCAGCTCTGGTTTCCTTTTGTCCTCTGACCAAACAGTGTTTGGCCAGTAACTCCCTCCTGGCCCAGAGGAGAGGCTGACAAAGAGAAAGTCGGGCTCACATGCTGTAATTCTGAGTGCAGGAGTCTCTCTTTGGATGTGGAACATCTGGGAATGGCCCCCACCCCACAGAGCTATTTGATGGACGTAAACAAGCCTGTGAGCACAAACAAAATGTGCACAGCTGTGCAGACGTCATGGACAACTCCAGCTCTGGCTCTGCCAGGCATGGCAGGACACTGTGAGCAGGGGGACAGTCAGGTTAAGCTCTGCTTTCCTTCTTGCTGCCTATTTTTTCCACCTTCCTTGCTCAATGAAGTGATACCAAGCTAATCTGTAACAGTGGCCATGTCGAAATTTGAGTCACCTCCTGGGGTGAGGTTCTGCCGCTCACGTTTGTCATGTCTCCCGGTCTGCTTTGGAGATTCATTTTTCTCCAGCTAGTTACAGACACATACACAAGGCACTGCTGGGATCTGGATCCATCAGGGTTTCAGTCAGAGAATCATGCAATCACAGAATGGTTTGGGTTGGAAGGGACCTAAAAGCCCATCCAGTTCCAAACCCCACACGTTCCACTAGCCCAGGTTGCTCCAACCTGGCCTTGGACACTTCCAGGGATCCAGGGGCAGCCACAGCTTCTCTGGGAAACTTGTGCCAGGCCCTTCCCACCCTCCTAGCCAAGAATTCCCTCCTAAGAGAAGTTCCTAAGATGCCAGTCCCAGACATGTCACTCATTTTCAGAACTTTTCCTATCTCGAACACAAAAAAGAAAGAATGAGGGTTAACACCAAATTTAACTTGTTCCCAGGCGAAATACCTGGAAAATGGTTCCCATGTGAAACACCTCAGATTGTTCCAATGACATGGGAGGTTCAATGTGCACCCTTGTCCCAGCAGGACGGTGCCCAGGGGGCTGTTCTGGACTCACCGTTGGGGTTGTAGCAGTAGGCGTCCCACCTCTCGCTCCGGTTGAGGCGAATCCCGTAGTCAACAATTCCAGTCCTTCCAAAGCCACAGTTGGCTCCGGCTTTTACGATGGGATAACCAACCCTGCCCTTGGCCATCCAGCCAGCAGCACACACGTGGAAACCTGCAGCAGGGAGGAAATGCCACATGGATGGGATCAATCAATCCCAGGCCGGGAACGTTGCTTTTCCTTCAACTAAGTCTTACTCAAGCTGATGACTCAATGACCTGGGTGTAATTGGCCTGGTAGAAATTGAGCTGCAGGAAAGAGTAGGACTTTGAGAGGATAATTTTAAACACAGAGTATAAAATTGCATTGTGTTCACCACAATGTGATTACTGGGGCATCATTTCAGGACAAAAATCAAACACAGATGGACTGCATAGTTCCCCAAGTAGTCAGTCTGAAGTGCTCTGTGACCACTTGTAATCAAATTATACATTGGATGAGTTCTCTAAGAGTGTGCTTTGTTTCCCTTTTGAAGTCACACAAATCTACTCAATCAGATCTCAGGAGTCCACAGCCTTAATTTCTGAGCATGAATAAAACACTACATACAAAATACAGCTAAAGCCCTGCAGTGTCAATTTAAAACACTTTCAACTGAAATTTAAATACATGAAATGCCTCAAGCATTTCTTGCCAAACAAAAAAGATCCTGTTAATGCATTTTGGGGCTGAGAACTTAACACCAATAGGCAAAGAATGCAACGTTGTTCCCTGGCTGGTAGAGACCAATCCAATGTTTGCACTGAGAGGAAATGGGACATTTTTGTGGCATCTTAGGGCTCTGAGCCGCTCAAAGAGACAAAAGTCCCCCTTTCACATGGGTCCTGGTGCTGAGAGCCAGTTCTGAATCAACAGCAGAGCAAGAAAATCTCTGGAGTGGAGGATATTTTCCATTGTTTTCCCAGTGCTCTGAATGAATGGATAATTTCTTATTAGGAATCAACTAGAAATACAGTAGAGCCCTCACTCAACTCCACTTTTCACTCCAAGCACACACAACTCACTTTGTCCCAGAGCAAATATGGATGGAATAAAAATCTTGATGAAAACAAACCTGTTGGAATGATTCCCTAGAGGCCATGGAGATGCTCCAAGGGCTGGAGCCCCTCTGCTCTGGAGCCAGGCTGGGAGAGCTGGGGGGGTTCCCCTGGAGAAGAGAAGGCTGCAGGGAGACCTGAGAGCCCCTTCCAGGGCCTAAAGGGGTTCCAGGAGAGCTGGAGAGGGACTGGGGACAAGGGATGGCAGGACAGGACACAGGGAATGGCTTTAAGTGAAGGAGGGTTGATTTAGATGGGATACTGGGGAGGAATTGTTGGCTGTGAGGTTGGTGAGGCCCTGGCACCAGTCACACTCCAGTTACCAAGGTGGCAAATCGGAAGCAACTTGAGCAAAAATCCAGGGATTTCCATGTCTCTCAGTCCCCGAGTTCACAACAGACACGGCAACACACAGCCGACAACGCTGAATGAGGGCTGTGAAAAGCCAAGTGCCGTGATTTTTCCATGATTTTTCCATACCTATTTTCCGGGCCGCCTCCAGCTGCTGGTACGTGGCCAGGTGTCCTCCCTCGTACTCGCACACGGCCTTGGCCTCGGCGTAGGTGAGCTGGTACTTCCCGGAGCGGGATTCCCGGTGGTACACCCCAGCCGCCCGCTCTGTGGGAACGAGGCAGGACATGGATTCAGCGTCAGACCTCAGCCCTCCCACCTCCAGCAGCGAGACCTCAACGTTGGGCTCCACCTCTCCTTCCAGGCGGGAAGAGGAACCGAGCGTCCCGCTGGCAGCTGTGCCGCTCGGGAAGCGCCGGGAAAACACGTCCCTCCCGACCCAAAGCTTTTCGAGAAACCCAAAGGTTGGGTTTGTTTGGGAGAAGTTTTTAACAACAGAGCTTGGAGAATTTTTGAACAACAGCAGGTCAACAAGAGGCTGGGCAGGACTCCCCTGGGATGACTCCGAGGGCAGTCGTTATGGGAACGCCGGCTGTCAGCATCCCCGGGGCTCTGTATCCCGCCTGACTCCGGGGAAGCTCCTTCTGGATCGCTATCACAGCATCCCTCTGGCTGCCACTTGAAGCGCCTTTGGAAGATGAATCAGAGCTTTGTTTCGAGTCTCCAGAGAAGTTAAATCAGAGCTACTTGGATCGAGGAGAGGCGGGAATGAAAGGGGAGAAAAATGCGAAGTAAAAATATCTGAGCGTGTGTCACCGAGGGCAGGACCAGAACAATCGCTGGCTGACATTTCTGCTGCACACAAAATTCATACATTTCCTTCGTGTTTTTTTCTCTGCCGTTGCAAATATGATAAAAAGCAGCTTTCCAGGGAAACCTAGAAACTGCCAGCGCTGCCACAAGTTTTATAATCTCTTCATGTTGCACTTGTCTGGTGCCATATGTGTGGAAATCTGTCTCGGAACCAACGTGCATATCTAATCTGAACGGTGGTTTTGTTTAGGTCTCTCTCATATTTAGGATAATCTGGGAGATGTGGCCATTTGGAGCTATCACTGAAAAAAAAGATGGAAAACAGGGAGCATTTTTACAGTAGTTATTGGTACCATGGGAAAAGGAGGATGTCTTTTTTTTAGGGACATACTTGGAGTCAGTGGTTTTGGCTGGGTTAGGGTAGTTTTTAAAAAGCCCTGGTCACCACTGAATTGTGGTTAATGGTGAGATCCCTTAATAGACACGGAATGACGTTGGCCAGGGTGGTTTTTGGACCTGCTGTCACTGGCCTTGTGCCCAGAGAAATAAATTATATTGCTGACAACAGCCTCAGAAGAAACAGAGCCGCCTTCCGGAACATCACTGGGAATACCGGTGGCATGGGCACGGGATAACAGATCCTCCATGGAAAAACCCTCCTGAAGAAGCCAGTTTAATTGCAAAGAAGAGCCATAACAACTCCCAGCTGTGAATGATGGTGTGTTATATTAAAAAACCACATTTTAATTAAGTATTTATTCCTCGGAAGGATTGCTTTTCATTCCCTCAATAGGCTGTCATGTCTAAGCTCGTGGTAAGTCCTGATCAATCAGCTCACTGCTGCTGTGGGCAGGGTTGTGTTGGATTCAGAATACAGCAGTGGGAAATCTGGGGCAACCTGGAATCCACATTAATGATCACTGAGCTCCCAGGGAAGGGAACTGGGAGATGAACTGGAAAATACAGACTGTACTCCTTGGGACTCGCTGAGCTGCCCCACCTTCACCACTCAAAGAGCACCTGAATTCTGAGGTCAGTCACCTTTGCAAAATGAGCCAAAACAAGAGATGTCTTCAGGCTCATTGCCACCGGTCTTTGCTGGTGAAAGCCCCCAGTCCTCTGGCTGCCACCTTTGTAAGTCCCATCCTGTCCCTGGATGTACCACCAGGGATCTGGGGGGATTCTCCACTGCTTGGACTCGTCACTCCCAGAGCTGCCAGTAAAAACTTCCCATTTTCAGTTGGCTTTTTCACCCGGTGATATTGTTTTCAAATTCGATCCCTCCAGAGGTATTTCCTGCCACTTGTTGCTGAAATGTCACTATGGACAGGCATCATATTTTTCAGAATATTGCTGGAAAGTTCTGCTCTCCTCAGGGTCTGCAAGGGCTGGAACCAAGAGCAGCACCACTGAATCTTCCTGCAATACCCTGGTGGGTGTTGCCACCCTGCAAGGAGCAATCTCCAGCTCCCTCTCTGTTATTCCTTTGTAACGTGGCAAAAGTAGCCTTTGAAAAACCAGACCACACACATGGACTCCCCCAAGCTTTGGGATTTGCTGCTGGCTCAGTGTGTCACAGTTTAAAGCATTCCCTAACAGTGTATCCTAATTAACTGATTGGATCTTCCATTGGCAGCTTTCCCCCCCTCCCTCTTAATTACATCAGGGGCTGTGCAGGCAGATAAAGTGCTTCGTGAAACACAGTCCCAGGTAAAGCACTGGAATTATTAACCATTCATTGACACATTTGTGTCTCTGGAAGTATAAATTTATATAAGGTATTCACAGGCAGGCAGGAATTGCTCTTTATGGAGGTGGGATCATGGCCATGCAGATAAACCTGCAGGGAATTTGTATTTGCTAGCACAAGCACGTGCCCACCACTGCCAGAGGGCCGTGGGTCTCACACGTTTCTTCCAGCTCACATTTCCTAAAATCTCTTCTTGGAGCCCAGGGACAGCGGGGTCCTGCAAGGACAGGGACCCCCTCCTCACCCACAGCAGGAGGTGGGGAAATGCAGCCAAACTCTTCTGCACAAACACAGGCAGCATGAAATTTGGGCTGCTAAAGTCCCCACAATATGCAGGGAACAAGCACTAAATGCTAAATAAAAAGGAATATTTAGCTTTTAAGCAGAGGGTGGCCATGTAGAGCCCTTGGCACGGACCTCTGAAAACACACGTGGTCAAACTCAGAGAACTCCACTAAATAGGGCAGGAAAAGCCCCTAAACCACCCTGACACGTGGAGTGGGAATGGGGATGGAATCCTGAGCACAGAGTCCTGGAAAACCTACCCTGTGGCACCACGAACTGGCACTGGAATAAGGGGATGTGAATATTCCGGCAGGACTGTCCCAACCCTCCCATCAGCTGACAACAAACCTTTGGTTATAACCTGCTCGTGTCGAAAATGAGCCACATCAACATTCCATTCCCACAAGGAATCCATTCCCAGGGAGGTGGTGGAGGCAGCTGCAGCAGGACTGCACTGCACACACTTACTGAGAAACGAGAGATGTTTATAACCAGAAAAAAGGTAAGACATGAGCATTTCCAGGCTGCCAGTAATTCAAGATTTTATAGCTGTGCTTCTGATTTCCTGGAAAAAAAAAAGGTAAGATGGAAATCTCCCTACATTTTCAATTTGATGCTTTATCAGAAGAGGAGATAAGCAAAGCTCAGATGTTTTATTCCAGGAGGGGTTTTGCTTTAATGCACAGTGAAGGTGAGATTGGGGTGAATTGTTTTACTGTTCAAGTTACCCTTTTTGGGTTTTTTTAAATACACAGAAGCCTGAACTGGCTGTCTGTGATTTTGCCAATTTTTTTTTTTTTATTTCCATACAGTGTCACTGAATTCCATTGGTAATTCAATTTGAGCTTCATTTCCATAATATTATTGCTGTAGTTACACTGGATAGTGCATTTCTAGTTTGGTTTTATTTAGAACAAGCGATCAGTTTTCCCCTCCTGGTTTATTTTTACTGACTCTCATGGTAAATGCTTCAAGGTGCAGCAAACCAGAATTTTGCTGTGCCTTCCAATCAACACTCAGCTGCTCCATTTTAAAGAAGCTGAAATGTTTTTTCTTCCATTTGACTGCTGAGGTGATTGATCACTGTTGTCCCAAATTTGCATTTATGCTGTAGCAGTCCCTAAAGCTATGACCTGGCTGGTTGTAGTACCTATGGATACATCAATATTTGCAAATAAAACACCCAGGACCCATTTCCTGTCCGTGAGTGAAAGTGGGATGTGTGTGAGACTCTTCCCCATCATCAGGGGGAAGAGTCATCATCATCATCATCATCACCTGACACTCAGCTTCTCTGCCTTGGCCATCAAGGCTTAACAAACCCTGAGCCCTACTCATCTCCTGTGTCTCCTTGTTGTTATTCCAGCCAGGAATAAAAACTCTGCTTGTTTCCCACACAAACCTCTCCTTCGTCATCCTATTTTTGAACAGCAGCCACTTGAGGTGGAACCTGAAGCTGCCAAGCTGTTCTTGCTTGGAGCTCCCCCCCCCCCCCCAGCTATGGGACACAGGAGGAATGTCCCAAGGTGGGGAGGAGAGAGGAGCCATTAAAAATGTGCAGTCAAATGGAAAGCAATATAGATAATTTCTGTGCCTCATTTGTGTTCCTGGTGGTTTACATGGTCCTCTGAGAGGGGCTGGAGCCACGTGGTTGCTGCACCAGCTGACAGAGCGTGGTCCTGCTCCCTCCTGGGACATCTGAGCCCAACAGAAACACAGGGATTCCCTAAAATCCTTAAAGAATCACACAACATTCTGTAGAGGAGAAAGGATTTGTAAGCATTTGTCAATAAAACAGAGCACTCAGTGCATGCCTTTATTTTGGCATCCTTTATGTGACTCGACTCTATGTTTGCCTGTTGCACTGGATAATTTTAAAGATCTATAAAAGAATCTCAGAGCTATTTAAACCCACTTGAGGTACAAGAAACTCTTCTCACAGCATTTTTTCTCTTGCCTTTTGGAAATCTTCTGTGCCCTGTTAAATGATGTGAGCAAACCAATGGCCAAAACACAGACATTTCTGTGCTCTTCTAGAAACCTAGGAAATATTATCACTATTATTTCCAGACCATTTAGTTTCATATGCAGGACCCCAGGCATGTGAAGTATGTTCATGCAGAAAGCAATTCATTCCTTTGGCAAATGTTTCTTTTCAGACCCTTTTTCTTTCGTTACAAGCAACTGTTATTTAGTGCAGTTTTCACCTCACGCTGCAGGAAAACACATTTGGATAAATATTCCATCATTAGCTTTTCTTGCATTTCAGAGGAGGAGTAAAATAGCAAATGTGTAAAAACTTACATTCACTACTCAGATAAAGTGGTTTAATGAGTTGCAATGCAGGATTTTGCTGATATTAATGCACAGCTCAGCTTTGTGCTGCTCTTGGACAAACACGGTGGCTCTGCAGCAAAACATTCCCAGGAATGAAGTTATTCCTTACCTAACCAAATGGAGTTGTGCAGCACTCCATCCTTGAAGCCCCACGCTCCAGCCTCGTCCCACAGCAGGGCAGAGAAGAGAATCAGTGCAATCATCTCCCGGGAAGGCTCGGGCTGTAAATATTCCCTGGTCAAACGCTCCGGGTCGGCTCTGGCTCGGTGCTCCTGGAACATCTGGGAGCCAGACCTTAAATAGCACGTTGAGCTGTGAGGTCAGTGAGGCTGCTCCAATTGTGCTGCTGCAGTTCTTACACAATTAAATGTGGTGTCTGCAGTCGCCCATGTGACTCACTTTTGGCTCTCTCCATTCCCAGCCTGTCCAAGAATCCATTCTATCCCTCACTACTGCAGCACACACGGACGCTCTCCAAGCCAAAGGCTGTTCATTCTTCGGCACTGGCTGCCTTCAGATTCCACAAAATAAAACTCAGAGCCAGTCTATCTATGCTTCCAGTCACACCACTTACAGGACCTGAGACATCACACTCTCATTCTCCTTTAAACATTCTGCCCCTCTGTAAATAATTTGGATTTAATTTCACCTAACCAATGGGAAAACGTCGGGAGAAGGTTTTACACTGACTGTTTGAATTCGGCTTCCCCACACGGAATCTGTCACTGCAAATCAACCTCCCAGATCAGCACAAAACTGCAAGTGTCAAAAACAGATGCTCTTTGTTCTGCAAAGTGGGAAATAAAGCTCAAAACTTCCCCTCCAAACCACAGTTTAAAGGCTGAATCACGGCGTGACAGCTGTCTGCTTGTCTTCCCTTCTGGCTGGAAGTGAATCCTGCAGCTGCTCCTCGTGGATGAGTGGGAGAGAGGAAAGGGGGGAAAGATGAGAGCATGGAAAAGGAGCTGGTGCTCCACACTCCTGAGCAGCTCTTGGAAAACTGTGCAGTTGTGATAACATCAGTAACTTCTGAGTCAGGAGCTACAGACAGAGACATGACAAGGGTCACACCAACAGTTGAGCTACAAGAGGTGGGAAGGGAAGGGTGGAGGTGGCTGGGCTTGCTCAAAAATGTTTTAACACAGATGACTTGTGGTGAGGAAGATTCTTCATCACTCCAGGTTTGGAGTGAGGAAAGCCTGGTTACACTGTACACACACACACATGTTCCTCCCACCCAAACTCAGACAGATGCTGAAGGGAAAAGCTGTTGGGAAATGGAGTTGAGGGAATTAAAAGGTGCCTTCCACCAAAATACCAGTGTCCAGGCCTGTCCCTCTCCAGCTCTCACTGGTGGGGGCAGATCTGCTCTTCCAATGAAGTTCCCCAGCATGCACACAGTGGCCACAGTGGGGTCACTGGTCCAACCTCACAGAGGATGCTGGGACAAGGACTGGTCCAGGGATTGATCCAGGGACTGACCCAGGGGCTGCCAGTTTGTTCACAGCCTCTCCCACACTGATGGTCCCACCCCCTTTACAGCTCCCCTGGCAGCAAAACAGGGAAGCTCCCCACAGACTTGTCTCATCACAGTGAGGTGGGAGCTCTGCTCTGCTTCTTCTTTCCACATTTGAGGGTTGGTGCTTCATTTGTACTTGTTTCCTGCTTTAGAGAATCCCAGGATCGCTGAGGTTGGAAAAGACCTCCAGGACCAAGTCCAACCTGTGCCTGATCCCCATATTGCATCCCAGCCCAGAGCACTGAGTGCCACGGCCAGGCCTTCCTTGGACAACTCCAGGATGGGGACTCCAAACCTCCCTGGGCAGCCCCTTCCAGTGCCTGACCACCCTTTCCAGGGAGAAATTCCTCCTGAGTTAATGCCTAATAGAGAAGAGTCTGAGGTTTTTGAATGACACCTAATTAAACTTTACTCTGTGAAAATATTTTGGTAGAAGCCTGTTGCTTTCTAAACATTAATCCCCAAGACAAGTACCTGAGGTTACCTGGGATATGAGTTGTGAAGGTGGCAGCATAAACTTTTGGGGTGTTGCTGAATGTGTTACTCTGGAACATTCATTTCTCGCTGGCTGAAGGAGACTGGCACTTAGTCTTTGCTGGTTTGGATTTGGGACACAGTCATGGCATCTTCTGGGAACCTGAAAACAATAAAAGAGGCAGGAGGGAAGGGATGGAAACCAAGGGAAAGGGAAAACTCAACAGTAATATAATTCACTGGCAATCTGGAAAGACAAATTCCTGGTTCAGGTGGAGAGAAAGAAGTGTGATGTGATGTCTTTCCTTGCACAGGACCCCTTTTCTCTGTGCCACTCCATGAGAATTCCTCTGGATGGTATTGCAGTGTGAGTTGATATTAGTGATCTATCAGTGCCAAATGTCCACACCACAGGAATTGTTCTGTCCTTGGTAGGTGGGTTCCAGTGCACAAGATCACAGGAATGTGGGAACAGTGACTAATTTGTAAGAGCAAGGAGTGCAAACCATGGAGATGGTTTGTCACAGACTGACACACTGAAATCATTAGGAAAGACACTCGTGCAATAATGAATAAAAATTACTCATTGCTGAAGTTAAGTGTTAATGGGGAAAGGCCTCAGCTGGAAAAGCAACTTAATAAATAAAGGGCATAAAGAAGCAAACAGTGCTTGAGAGCAGCTCTTGATTTATGCAAGGTCTGAGGTTTGAGTGAACACAGAATCATGGAATTAAAGTTGGAAAAACCTTTAAGATCATCAAGTCCAACTGTCAAAACAGCACCACCACCACGGTCTCCACTAACCATGTCCTCAAGTGCCACATCCACACAGCTTTTAACACTCCCAGGGATGGGGACTCGACCATCCCCTTCCCTGGGCAGCTTGTTCCAAAGCTTGACAATCTTTTCCACGAAGAAATTTTTCCTCATGTCCAGTCTAAACCTCCCCTGGCACAACTTGAGGCTGTTTCCTCTCATCCTGTCACTTGGTACCTGGAGGAACATCCAGGTGCCCTTGCACCTCCCTGGAGGAACAAGACTAGCTGTCAAGAATTCCAAGGATATACAGTGGCTCATTGGTCACAGAATCAGGGAATAACTGAAGCTGTAAGGCAGCAGGAGAGATCATCCAGTCTTAGAGTCAGGATTCAGGTGTCACATTGGGAATAGTCCCTCAAATGAATAAACTTCATCTTTGTCAGACAGTAACAAATCTCTGACAGGAAGGGGGAGCCGGGGGAAGGTTGGGCTCTGCTCCCAGGGAACAAGGGACAGGAGGAGAGGGAACGGCCTCAGGCTGTGCCAGGGGAGGGTCAGGTTGGACATCAGGAGGAATTTCCCATGGAAAGGGTGGTCAGGCACTGGCAGGGGCTGCCCAGGGAGGTTTGGAGTGCCCACCCTGGAGGTGTCCCAGGAAGGCCTGGCCGTGGCACTCAGTGCTCTGGGCTGGGGGACAAGGGGGGATCCATGGGCTGGGAGGGCTTTTCCAGCCTCAGTGATCTTGGGATTCTCCAAGAGCTCTGCAGGGTTCAGTAAATGTTTTAGAGGGAGGAGTAACTGGGCATGGGGAGTATTTTGCAGTGCCAGTGAAGTGACACCCCCAGAGCTGCACTTCTGCCCCTCCAGTGAGCGGGAAAGTTCTCACCTGCAAATCCCGGCAGAACCTCTCAGCACCAAGGTATTCCACAGCTGTCCACAGGCACTTGGAGACACTCAGCTGACATTCTTTAGCTTTCTTCCAAGTTTTCCACATTTAAATATGTACCAGACAAATCTTATATAAATTGAAGGGGAAGGGAAGCTTTCCTTAACTCTTTCTTAGTTCTTTCCTTAACTCTTACCTTAACTCTTCCTTAACTCTTTCCTTAATTCTTGGCTTGTTTCTTCTTTTTTTTTCCTTCAGCAAAGTAACAGGTTCTTTAGTACCTCTTTGTAGCAGGAAAATCATGTTACAACTCTTATTGTATCTTTAGGTCTGTCTTTAAAAATTATCACCTTCTTTCCATCTTCCCTGCAGGTCATATTTTCTAGACTCTGGACTATTCCTGATCCTCTCCCTGTTGTTTTCCCAGGTGTACTCCATCCAACAAAAGGCTCCACCATGACAACACAGAGGTGAGTCATTTATTTTCCATGGGATATTTTGGTTTCTGTGAACTCCTGGTTTGACCTTTGCTCCTGGTGAAATTCTCTGCAAAACCAACAAGTCGAGATTTTAAAATGTTTTAAAATATTACATGGACAAGAAGATGGTCTAAGGGGGGAAATGCATCCAAAATGAAAGCAGCCAGTGGGATTTGGCAGGTCTAACCTGCTTTTCCAATATCTCTTTCCTTGGATGCCTCTGCTCCAGTGAAAGCCAAAAAGTGACACAGAGATGGTGTTTTTTGGGAAAGAGTTGAAGAAATTCTTACATTTATGGTTTGGACTCATGAAAAACTTGTTAACTTACAAACCAGGATTTCTACATTTTTCACAGATTTGTTGTAGCCAGAAGTAATTTCTAATGAAATTTCCCAATTTTTCTGTCCTCCATAAGCTTCAGGTGATGCAATTTGAGAAGAATTTGATAACGTGAGAACTCCTTGGCCAATGATCTGAGCGTTTGTTGTCCCAGTGGTAAGTTAATCTTTCAGAGACTATTTTGCCTTATAAATAAATAAATATGTTTCAACCTCCCCTCCTCTGCCTCAAAGTCTGATTTTTCTTGAAATCAGTGCCCATTTTTATCAGCAGCATCAATGAGGCAAGACCCAACCTCTCTGTGTAGCGGTGCTTGAGTTTAAAAAAAAGCAAACAAACCCCTCCATGTGAAAGGAGAACAAACCAAAAACATTTGGGAATATTGAGAGCAGATGTTGGGAGAGAAGAATGGATTCACTTATAAAAATTCTGACCATTTGCCAAGTTGAAATATTTGAAGTCCTATAGTGAGAGTTGCTGTAAATAAAAGAGTTGGACCAACCAAAATTTTAAAAATACAGATATCACAGATAGAAAATTAACAAGTGTCTCAGGGATGAGACACTTTAAATCACATTTTGAAACGACAGAAATATAGTCCAAAAGCACAAAATGTCATAAACAGGGTTTTTAGATGTGAGGCTGAGGACTGGGTAATGTGGCAGGGGGGTGCCAAGACAAACAGGCTCCAAAGATTGCCAGGAAACTCCTGAAAAGAAAAAAACAAGTTGCAGCTCCATCCACTGCAGAGCCAACTGCAACAACTTTGAGGGGAGGAGGGTGTTGGGGAAAATATTAATATAAAACATATTATTAATAAAAACATATCATTAATAAGATTTTATTAATATTAATATAAAATTAATGTATGCAAAGGGTCAGATGTGCAGAATTTAGTCCTTTAGGGCCATAAATGTGAGTTTTTTCAGTAGTTTTAGAGATTATGGGCTTTTATAATATATGTATTATATTGTTTGTTTAATTAATTGATATATTTATATTATTTATTTATTTATTTGATACATCATGCATCTCTCTCTCTATATAATGTACTATATTTGTAGAGAAAATTAAAACTATTGGTATCTGGCAGGTGTATATAAAACATCTACACCATAATAGTTTTAATAAACATTATATATTAACTCTTTTCACATTGGTGAAAGCAAGGTCAGAGTGGAATCACTGCTGACCATTCAAACTCATGGAGACAATTCTTGTAAAAAGACTTTCTGTTCAAACAGTTCACCTACAAAGTAAACACTTTTCTATTTTAATAGAAAACATTATATAAATATAAAATACTATCTAGAAATATATAATCATAAATTATATAAATATTATAATTGAAATTATAAAGTAACTAAGCATTTATAAGGGTTTTAATCTCCTATATTTATCATAATTCACTGGCATACAACAAATAGATCATTATCTAACTCCAAGCATCTCATTTAAGGGTGTGAATGAAGAGCTTTTCCATTAAATGAGTCTCCAAAGGGCATTCCCAGCATATACATTTTGAATATCCCATTAATTTTCACCTATTTCACCTAAAAACCCATTTATTTGTCCATCTCAGAACATCGTAGAGTTTAAAAATGACTTTCCTACCTTAAGCTGTGCGTGGGCAGGTGGTGAGTTTTCAGAAGCAAAACACTCCCGTGAGTTTGGGCACAAATAATTGGGAAAATCTGGCCAGGTCCACGGATTCTTTGGGAAAATTGGCCTTACAAAGCATCATTAAATGTGTCCTGCTCTGTGCTCCTGATGTGCTGTTTCTGATCGATGTTCCTGGTAGATGCATTAAAAAAGGAATTTATTGTTAGCCCCGGGGTGGAACTAAACTATGGAAAAGCTGGAAGGCACTGAACTGGCTTGTCCAGTGGCTGCAGCAATCCAGGATCACCCAGGTTGGAAGAGACCTTCAGGACTGTGGGGTCCAACTGCACAGATGCAGCTGTGGAAAGCACACACAGAGCCTGGGGCAGGTCCTGGAGGGCAGGGAAAAGGGACAAGCCCTGAAGAACCAGGAGCTACCTCTGCAGGCTCTGTCTCCCAGTGTTTGCTCCGAATTCCTGGAGTCTGACCCCTTCCAGCACCCTGGGATGTGGAATTATGGCACTGCCAGCAGCTCCTTCCCAAAAAACAGGCTAAGACCTGCTTTCCTCTTCAGAAGGACCCAGAGCTGTGCCCACCATGGGACAGGGATCCCAGCTGGACAGAGGGCACCTGTGGAGAACTGCAGACCAATGCCCTGGATATGGAAAAGGTCAGGACAAACCTCTGCCTGTGCCATGTCCTGGGCTGGCCTCCTGGAATCCCATCCCCAGGTTCCCCCACCCCTCATTTTGTGTGGTGTGTCAAATTTTGTAATGGAATACAGGGATATGCTTTGGAAATCCAAATATTATCCCCCTGGACACTGGGGACACTGGGTGGTGGTGGTGGAATCTATTCTTGGTCGTACAGTCACCTCTGGTCCCACAAAACCTGACCCCACTCATTCATCTGCTTTGCAGTATTATCCTAAATTCCTCTCCAAACCCAAATAGATGGACCTGGTGATAAAATCCTCGACAAATGGATCTCAGCAGTCATTGCTGCAGGCTCCCCTTTCTGTCTGCAACACTCATTTAAAAGGATATTCACAGTTTAGGACAAACCTCTCCCCTGCCATGTCCTGGGCTGGCCTCCTGGAATCTCATCCCCAGATTCTCCCACCCCTCATTTTGTGTGATGTGTCAGATTTTGTACTGGAATACAGGGATATTCTTTGGAAACCCAAATATTGTCTTATCCCCCCTGGACACTGGGTGGTGGTGGAATGTGTCCTTGGTCGTACAGTCACCTCCGGTCCCACAAAACCTGACCCCACTCATTCATCTGCTTTGCAGTATTATCCTAAATTCCTCTCCTAACCCAAACAGATGGCTGTGGTGATAAAATCCTCGACAGATGAGTCTCAGCAGTCATTGCTTCAGCCTCCCCTTTCTGTCTGCAACACTCATTTCCTACCCCACTGCACAGCCCTTTTCCCTCCTCCCTCCTGCTGCTGCCTCAGCCCCCGAGGAAATCAATTTTCCATCCTTCCCTCATGCCACAGTGACTCAAGATTTCACCAGCTCCCTTTTTGAGCCTTATTTCGTTTAGTTTGGGGTGATGGGTGAGATCTCTGGCACCCATTTCTGTGGAGAATCACGCTGTGGATTTGCTTTTATCCGTGGGCATAGCCCACATCCTGTGGGTTCCGGAGAAACAAGGTGGTGGCTGTGCTCCTGGAATTCCATGGAATTCCACGATTGCAGCATCCAGGGTGAACTAATGTCCTGGCATTGCCTCATAATCCTGGAAAGGCCTGCTTGCACAAGTTGGCTGGGAATGATTTTGTCATGGTGTGGGTTATTCCTGCTGCTCATGAGGTGATCCTTGGAGTGTTTCCTCTAGGAAGTCACAACCACCATCAGCATCTTCCCTGAGGGAATGACCTGCTGGATGTCTGCACCTCTAAAAGCTGCAATCCCAACTTTTCAGCTGATGTGCAATACAGAGTTATTCTTTGCTGTGGGTAACATCAAACTTTCCTCTTCTAATCATTCCGGGTTTATTTATCTGTCTATTTATTTATTTATTTATTTCCCATGTCTGTCTCCTTCCCAGATTATCCTGAGGTACATGAGTTTTGATGGAGCTGTTATTTTCCCTGCTTTACTCCTTTGCAAAAAAATATATTTTCTTTGTCAACCTTCTCCTTATGAAATAAAATGGAATATTCTATCCCATAGGAGCAGCTCTCCGTGAAGTCGTTTTTCCATGACTCTTCTCTCAACCTCCTCCTGCTCTTCCCGTGTTTATTAAAATCCCCCCTTTGCTTTGTTCCCAAACTCGGCGCCTTGTGACTGAACAAATTTTATTTTTACAGTATTAATTTGTTTTTCATGCCCTCGCTGTGCTTCTCTTACCCTGCCACCTCCCACTTTTGGGCCATTAGAACCCTCCTAAATAACAATTCCAATAGCAAAGCAACCCCTTCCAGGGACATTAATTCAATTGTGCAAACACATCTTCAAACCTGAGTTCTTTTAAATCAAAGTCATGTACAACGTGTCAAAACAGGGGCAAAATAACCCAGCTAATTGCTGGTAAATTCAGAGTCATTCTGAGGCTTCAGCAGCACGGAAATGGAAAATATGAATTCCCTTTCATTTACAATATGATTGATGTACTTTCCTTTGATATTTATCTTGCCCAACAGCAAATATGACTAAATACGACCCCAACACAGAAAAAATTACAAAATGGGAATGTAAGTGGTAAATTACATTTCTTGCACTTGAAGATGAAAGGGTAAAAAGAGAATTCTTGCAGATCTCACCAAAAAAGTCAAAAATATCTCTTTTGTCAGTGTGAGGAGTTTTTAAATAGTACTAAAGTGCCTTACTGGGATAGGATTTGGTGCACTTAAAGATGTATATTCAGGAGTTGTATTTATAAGTATTTTTATTTAAGAATATATTATATTTATATTATATATGAGTATTTTATTTTATTTATGAGCGTATTTATGAGTATATTAATTAATTAATTTCAGGAAAACTTTGCACTGTCACAAGCCCAGCGTGGCTGATCCAAGTGACAAAACTGAGATTTGGATCTGAGGAATCTGTAATTTTGGACCTTGGAATGAGAGGATCTTTAAGCTCCCTTTTATCCCAAGCCTTTCCTTGGTTTTATGACCTTTAAGCATCCAAATTCAGCCTCAGAAAAAAATTTATAATTAAAGCTTTTCTTGGGAGCGTTGCCACAATGGATCACCCTAAAAAATTAGGCTAATTTTTGTTCTGTTTCCTTCTTTTTTACTCAAGTTTTCCTAATTTTTTTTCGTATGAGTGCCTCCATAGCAGTGAAACACGTGTGAGGTTTGATATTCAGTTTGCAGAACAGATCCAAAGCTCTCAAGCTAGAAGTGTTATTCCAGAAACTCTATGTCTGAATTTAACAGCTGCATCCCATTAAATAAAATCAATATCCCAAATTTAGAGCAAGTGATGAAGCTGCAGAGATGAATGAATCATCTTTCCCCAAAAGCTGGTGATAGAAATCTTCCCGAAATTTATTGTGTCTGGAATATGCTGGGCTTTGATGCAACACTTTCCCTGCTCCACACTCATCCTGGGAAAGGCAATTTCTTGGGAAGAGGAAAAAATAATTAGGAAATACGTCTGTTACCAAAATATCTGAAATGAAAAATCAAGATGTTTCACTTTGAAAGAAATATTGGAGCTCCTTCAGTATATTTTTTTCTGGCCATAATTGTTTTTTACCTAATTTTATTAAGTTTTCTCCTTCCTAAAACTGTTAGTCAGCTTTTTGTGGTGAAATAATAAAGTTACAAATTCATTCCCTGGATTCTGAAGTTGCCTCAGCTGTGAGGAGCAACACAGTGGATATTTAATGTTGGTTTAACGTGAAACCACGAGGAAAAAGGAAAGGGAAAAGGAGAAGGGGAGGGAAAAGGAGAAGGAAAAAGAAAGAAGAAAAATGAAAGCAAGATAAAAAGGAAAAGGAAAAGAGAAAACAAGAAAAGGGAAAAGGAAAAGAGAGAATAAGTGAAGAAGAAAGGGAAAGGAAAAGAAAAGGAAAAGGAGAAGGAAAGGGAAAAGGAAACCGAAAAGTAAAAGGAAAGGGAAAAGAAAAGGAAAAGAAAAGAAAAAGGAGAAGGTGAAGGAAAGGGAAAAGGAGAAGGAAAGAAAAGGAAAAGGAAAGGGAAGGGAAAAGGAGAAGGAAAAGGAAAGAAGAAAAATGAAAGAAAGATGAAAAGGAAAAGAAAAAACAAGAAGAGGGAAAAGGAAAAGAAAAAGAATAAAAGAAAAAGAAAAAGGAAAAGGAAAAGGAAAAGGAAAAGGAAAAGGAAAGAGAATAAGAGAAAAAGCAAATAAAAAAGAGAAAGTAAATGAAAAAGAGAAAGTAAACTCAAAAGGAAAAGACCAACAAGCCATGGAATTCAGTGTATTTCCCCTGGAGGGCCTGGCTGTGGAGATTTCTCCATGGAGAAGGAAGTGGGATTCCCAGAGAAGGGCAGGACACAGCCATTAATCAATCCTTGGCTTCACGTTGGGCCTTTCAATGAGAAACAGCAGCAAAAGCAAATGAATCCCATGAAATATCCTCGGGCAGCCGAAGGGGCACTCGGAGCTCGGGATCTGCCAAAGGACGTCAGGCTCGAGCTGGAAAGAGAACCTGCATTCCCTGGAAATGGGACCTTTCCATTGCCAGTCTTCCCAGTTGGGTTTGTTGAAGCTTCTGGAAGGTGTGACTTGGAATATCAGTATAGAACTGACTAAATCCCGGGGTTTGTCTGGATTGGGAGTGAGATGAACTGACCACATCAGTGGGGTTAAAACACTCCCCCCGACACACTCAATTCCCATTAACAGCTTCTCAGAAGTGACCTTTCCTCACCATTTTCCAGGAGTATGCCAAGGCCAAAGCTCTGTAATCCTGGGATTACTTCCCTTCCCGGATATATCCCCTGCATAAGCACTTCTCGTGTTTTAACTTGCTCATATTCACTTTTTAATTGATCTCAGCTGCCTCCACAGCTTTCCATTTCATACCTTCTAAACACTCAGTAAGTGTTTCTTTCACAAAGAACGGATTGTACGAAACAATTTTTGGAAATTAAAAAAAACTATGGGGGAAATGTCAGAATTGCTTTAAAAAAAAAAAAAAAAAAGGAATTGAGAGACCAAGGTGTTTATTTAAATATTCCCAAAAATATTATCCTGATAATCTTCCTTCGGAATTACATTCATTCAGAATCCTGCTGACTGCAAAGTTTGGCAAGACACAGAAAAGGACTTTGTTTCATAGAATCATGGAATCCCATGTTTGGGTGAGAAGGGACCTTAAAGTTCATCCAGTCCACCCCCTGCCATGGGCAGGGACACCTTCCACCAGCCCAGGTTGCTCCAAGCCCCGTCCAACCTGGCCTTGGACACTCCCAGGGATCCAGGGGCAGCCACAGCTTCTCTGGGCAACCGGGGCCAGGGCCTCACCACCCTCCCAGCCAGGAATTCCTTCCCAATATCCCACCTAAATTTATCCTCTTTCAGCTTAAAGCCATTCCCTGTGTCCTGTCCCTCCATGCCTTGTCCCCAGTCCCTCTCCAGCTCTCCTGGAGCCCCTTTAGGCCCTGGAAGGGGCTCTCAGCTCTCCCTGGAGCCTTCTCTTCTCCAGGGGAACCCCCCCAGCTCTCCCAGCCTGGCTCCAGAGCAGAGGGGCTCCAGCCCTGGGAGCATCTCCGGGGCCTCTGGACCTGCTCCAGCAGCTCCATGTCTTTCTTGTGTTGAAGACCCCAGACCTGGATGCACCACTTCCATGTGGGAACTATTTTTC